AACAACAATTTGTGGATAACACAAAGTGTTGTCCCCTGTGGGGATCGAACCCACAACACTAAGCGCAGTAGGAAGCGGCGGGGTGACCGCTTAAACCACTACGCCATCCGTGCACTCAAAAGATTCAGTTCAATGAGTTCAATGACTCATACTAATGGATTTCCATGCTCCTAAAACTTTTTGTTAGCTTTAAAACGTACGAGTACTTTTTACTTGGCCCATAATGACGTTACGTTGAAATACTCAAAGACATGAAGTCATTAGGTACTCTTTTTCTTAATACAAATCTTTAACAATAGCTTTTACTGCGAGTTCAGTGACCTCTGCGTCAGCTAGAATTAGGGTTTGAGATATTTCGCATGTTATTACTTACACGCCACCTCTCCTCTTCATCCAAGTCTATTATGAAGCGTCATCTAAATTCGTTATGTTCTTTGACAGACTCATTATAAAAATGTCTTAAATCATGCAGGCATACTAAGTACATGAGATGTTTTTAAAAGGCCGCCAAAAGAGCTTCGAAACCATCAAAACTTTTATTTCAAGATACTATTGTATTGCTCAAGTTAGCGTCATAGAAGGGAATTATATAAGATTTACAAATTTGAGTTTCGTTCTTCAAAACAATTTACTTAAATAGGATTGCAACGAAGTGTTTAAAATTGCATACATCCACTAATCGACGGCCTGTTGATTTAGTGGTTAGTGATCCCCATTTCGGTTCAGGTTCGATTCCCATCCAGGACAAATAATTGTGTAATGAACACGATCGTTTGTTCCGTGTCTGGTTCTAATTTATCTAAAATATGTATGTATTCAGAAATATATAAGTATATTTATCAGCAGTCTGGTTACCATAGTAAGAAGCTATGCATAATTTAGGATCAGAGGGACACGTGTGGGATGTATGAGATTATTATTATTATTCCGTACTGCCATACAATATTAAATATGTCAACAAACGCGTAATTACTTGTCAATAACTTTCACTCAAGACGACGAGTTTACGTAAGTAAATGGTTAATATAAAATTGTCTTAATTATGTAATACTCGTGAACTGAGCTTATGACGCTGCATCACCATTGCAATGACATTTAAATTTTCTTATCATAAATTAAAGAATGTATCCATGAATACAATACATTTTAATAAATAAACAAATTAAATGTTCGGAACCTTCCGCACGTCCGTAGTTGGTTTATGCGGCCGCTGTCTACTGCGCTGAGTGTTGTGGGTTCGATCCCTACAGGGGAAGACACTTTGTGTGATCCACAAATTGTTGTTCTGAGTCTGGGTGTTCTCCTATAATTCCTCGTCTCGTCATCACCGACTGAGTCACTACATGAAGATATGTAATTTCTTAAAAGCTGTAGTATTTTGAAAATTTGCTGTTCATTTTCTACAAATAGTACACAAAAACTGATTATGATTAGAAATAAATTTCTCACAATCTTGTTAAATAGTAATCATCATTATTACATTAACAACCTTTAATAGTCCACTGCTGGACATGGGCCTCTCCTTAGAAAGGAGGATTTAGCCTACTATCGCCTCACGCAAGGAAAGTTCTCTCATCATCATCATCATCATAGTCCACTGCTGGACATAAATGATAAACGATATTTATTTCTGTAAGTAAACTTTTTCAGATATTGTTAAAAATCGGAAGGCCTCTCCTTCGAAAGGTTTTGGTGTAATATACCACGCTGGCCAGACGGGCTGGTATAGGATTTACTTCAAGTTTTCCTTCTCTTTACAGTGCTATTGTCATGCGTAGTTTGCTCCCTTAGTCCGCTCTTACGACACCCACGGAATGAATTGGGGTGGTGACACTCCGTATTCTTAATCCGTCACCACAATATTAGTAATAAGTTAGTTTCTTTCTCTCGTTTAATTCTTAATATCCACTAAAATATGTATTACATATGAGTATCAAGTATAAAGGAAAGTAATTTTACGGACTTACTATTAGAGATATTTAAATGAATGACGACTCTCTTCACTAAGTAATAAATTTTAAATTAACCCGCACAACAATTATTAGTCAAAGTTACGAATACCGACACACAAATTAAATTAGCGTCGAGAGTATTTCGTATTATGACTGTGGCACTCGTATTTTCATACAGGATTTGCCTTTAGGAATATCCTGTCATTTACGAAGGTAAATGTGTACTCCCTATTATTTTCTATGTTTCAAGTTCTTGATAATGATGAGGGTATAGCATTGATGGAATGGTCTGTTTTTGTGATTGTTATTGTATTCGTTTGAAATAGAGTTGAAAATCGTATGGAGACATCAGAATCAACTAACATTCGCGTTCTTTGTAAGCCAATAGACATAATGACTGCTGAATCAGGGTCCGATATTTTGTTAAAAAAGCAAAAGTCAAAATTTACTCCACTTGTTAAAATAACGACTGCTCGGTAATACACTTGACTGCACTAGCGTCGTACACCATAAGACCTAACATTGGCAAAGGCTAGTATTTAATAAAAACTTTAACTAGTTTATGTGCAGGCCACATATTCATATAAACATTACGTTGGGAATGAGGGTCGGCTAAGAACTCCATCGTTTTGGGACAGACTTTGCCGTTTGGAAATATAAATTGTATACAAAAGTGCAGAAAAAAGATAGAAGAAGACTGAAAGTAGAAAGGTATAATCGTGTTTAAGTATACTATGTAAGTAAGGTATAAATTTAATTCAGCTAAGTAATGAAAATTTATACAACGCCATCTAGTCCCAAACTAAGCAGAGCTTGGACTATGAGTACTAGACAACTGATATAAATACATATTATTTTTTGTAAATACATACATATCATACCTAGAAACACCCAGACTAAATCAAACATTAAATATTCATGCACACAAATGTTTGACTTAAGCAGGAATCGAACCCGCAACCTTTGGAATAGCAGTCCGTTACACAAACCACTACGCCATCCAGTCGTCCATCAACCAATTGAAAGGATGCATGAAAAAATGATTGCGAAACGAAATAAATTCAGTTTATACCTAATGCTAAAAATGTTAATAATTATTTCAATTGATCAAATATGATAGAAATAAGGCAAAGAATTGTATTAAAACCCTCCGTCTTATAAATCACCACTATCTAAAGTATATATATTACTATATATATACTTTTAGGAGGGTTTTAATACAAATATTTAGTATAGTATAATAACAAAAATGGAATTTTGAATGCTAGTGTCTAGTGTTTAGACTCGCATGACCGTTAAAAAAATGATGTCCTGAAATATTAGGCCCTTATTCTATGCTATAATGAAAAGTGTGTGCAATACTAAAAAGCAAAAATTTATCGTGATAATTAAATACGATAGGCCGATATATTCATGTGTTGAAAAAATTCAGATCCCGCCAGACGCGTGGTCGCCCTAAGGCTGCACAATGCGCTGCGCCCGCGCAGTGGGTGTCGATGATTTACACCGCCTTGTCTACGGCCTCATTCATATTTATTAAAGTTCGCACTTTTTTCAATTGTAAATCATATTTGTGTGATGTACGACATCTCGGCATTAACCTATTTCGTAGGCCCTGAGTTACAATAAAAAAGACATTTTGAGTATTTACGACGGTTTTTTGAAGTCTTATTGGAAACGATGTGATGGTGTAAATATTGTTTTGTCGTAAATTGTAAAGTGATTTTTTGGAAGATATTTCTCTTGACACAAATCTTGTCAGGTGTTTAGTTTGATTATTAAAACAGGAAACTGAGAGAAATCGTAGTTTCTTTTATAGTGTAACTTAGTGTTTGATTCCCGGATCCAGAAAATTGTTAGACTCAGTAAAATGATAGATTATATTGTTATTAAGTATTTATTATTTCTAATTGATACCGTTATTACAAATAACGATGACCTATTTTTGGTGTATTGCTTCACTAATTAGATAAGTACGATTTTCATCATATAATTGGTGGAAAACTTTTGTGTCCCTCTAGTACCAAGGGAGGATCCTCTGACCATCTCCTAATTACTAATCGTCCGTATGGTGACGCGTTAAAAATACGGAGTGTCACCATCCCTATTAATCCCATGGATGTCGTAAGAGCCGACCAAGGGAGCAATCTACGCGAGACAACAGCACTGCAAAAAGAAGAAAACTTGAAACAAAAACTAAACCAACCCGTATGGCCAGTGTGGTATATCAGGCCAAAACTTCCTTTCTAAGGAGAGTCTATGTCCAGCAGTGGACTATTATAGGCTATTGATGACGATGAGAGAACTTTCATTTCGCGATAGAGGATAAGTAGTTACTCCGTAATTCGGTGTTCATTTGTTACATGGCATCGAAGTATGTGAGTGTTACTGCATAGTTATTAATAATTTTGTTATAACTATAAAAAAATAACTTTTAAACAATTTTAAACTTGTTTTAATATTCCATACAGTTTTTAACCAATCAATAATGTCGTTCAATTTCTTAAGCGATTACGTTGTAAAGACTTACTCAATATTTTACTACAAAACATCGTGATTTCACATCGTGCATCGCCATTTTTGATATAACAGATGATATTTTGATACGAAAAAGTGCTTTACAGCAAGTTTCCAGATAATACCAATACAAGGCTTCTATCTGTCTATAGAACAAATGGTTATTCTTTGTATAAATCACTCTAATATTTCCACATCAATATGTTTACTGTAATTCTAAAGAAGATCATTTTAAGATTATCTTTTTTATATTGATTGCCCTTGTACCTTTAAGATCATTATCCCATAGCATGAATTCTGCGACATTTGGTTTTATCCATTTATATATATAGCGTCAATTATATATATATATATATATAGGCATATATATATTTATCATTGACGACTTGGAACGTGTCTCCACAGAGATTGATACAATGAAGTCTTTACAATCGATAATTTCATAATTGTTACATAAATATTATTAACGGTTGAATTGGAAACATCAATCTGAAATATTTCTTAGTCTTAGTTATGGCCTCCTTGTTACAGTATACACAGACCAACCAGTGTCATCAGCCTCCCCACCAACTCGTGATAAAATTAACGGGGAAGAGAAGGCAAGGTCGCGACGTCGGGATACCTGGACAGAGCCCACCACGCCCCCTGTCAACGACGATGGTGAGTATCGTATCATGTACATGTATCGTGCATAGAATATTCTCACACCCTATCTTCCTTCGTGGTAAGCAGAGAAAATTGGATTGCCATCCTGACTTAAGCCTCGGTTCCGGGGGATTTTTTTCGGCCTAGCTTTAGAATACTGTCGAGTTAGACAGTAAAGGACTGTCAGGGCGTAACTAAATTTTAATTTTCATTCATATACTCAACAGAGTGTCACAGAGCGGTGTTCCTTAGGATCGTTATTCTATATACATTTAGCCGATAAACATTGAGTGAGACTGAATAAAAAAGAAAACTTGTTATTATTTTTCTGTGGTAATCTGTTTTCAGAATTTCATACATCGTTAATTTAATCAATGCAATGTTGTTTTGCAAAGGTATACAGAAAAAATCCGGACATTCTATGAACTTCTTTAGTATTGAAAGAATAAATACATATGTACACCTAAAAACGTCATATGGTTTAAATTTGAATTCATTTGCTTATAATTTCAGATATTACTATCGTAAATTTACATATTTTAATTAAACTCTTGCTCTTGTAAAAAAACTTTCACCGTTTAACATAAATATATCTATACTAATATTATAAAGCTGAAGAGTTTGTTTGTTTGTTTGAACGCGCTAATCTCAGGAACTACTGGTCCGATTTGAAAAATTCTTTCAGTGTTAGATAGCCCATTTATCGAGGTAGGCTATAGGCTATATATCATCACGCTAAGACCAATAGGAGCGGAGCACCAATGAAGAATGTTTCAAAAACGGAGAAAATTTATTACTATTGAGAGACGCAGACGAAGTTGCGCGGATCAGCTAGTGTTAAATAAATATGATTCCTTTTCCAGCCAACGTAGGAGTCCGCTCACCTCTACTACAACAACAACACCAGCAATACGACGAACAGCTTCGGGACATCGCGGCATCTCTCACCAGACCAAGATCGAGACGAGCCCTACCACCCACCCTCGAAAGACCTACAAGACTACCGCCTCCTGACAGGCTACCGGTAATTTCATCATTATTTTGTAACATCTCTTGATACACTTAATATATTAATAGGTACTGATATTGATAAAACGTTTTCAAACGTCGGTTTAATATTTAAAAAAATCACACAGGCTCGAGGCTCGCCCGATGGCGGTGTGCCAGCAGAAGAGCCCAGCTCGAGTTCAGCAAGCGAGGGTAGTGAACCTACTGACGTCGTCGAACCTACAGAGTCTGCAGAAGGAGGCAGAGTTGAACTGCCAGCAGAAAGACTTTTACACGCAAGAGCTGGCTGGTTACAAAGGAGAGGCGCCGGAGGCTGGTCAAGACATTGGTTCGTACTGAGAGGAGCGGCTTTATTATACTTCAGGGATCCTCATGCAGAGCATAGAGGGTTGATGGATGGAGTGATTGACCTGAGTGGCATATCGAGGGTTGTAGAGCTGCCGACTTCAGCATCAACTAATGGATATGCTTTTGAAACTGAGGTGGGTTCCATTATATATAAATTTTCTACTTTTCTTTTAAATAATCGCTAAAGATGTTCAGTATTAATTATTTTTATTATTCACAGACATGGGACGGAAAACATATAGTATTATCTGCGGTGACGGCAGGGATTAGGGCGAATTGGGTATCGGCTATGCGAAGAACGGCCGGTTTACCCGACACAGGACCATTATCGTTAATCTTACGCGAGGACACAGTTGATCAAGCGTCAGAATCTTCAACTTCTCCTATAACACCAGTCACACCTATCACTGGTAAGTCAGCGCCCTTTTCATCAGACGAAGAATACCGAACGGCTTCAGAGGGTGGACGAAGAGATAGTGCTGATTGGGGTGATATGGGACCACAACCCCCACCATCACCAATTCTTAATAGAACTCCGATATCGAAAGTCAAGGAAAAGATACGTGGTCGAAACAATCATCCAACAACACCACGATCGGATAATCCAAAAGTTGACAGAGACGAAATAGACTCTACCAAAGAAAAAGAACGTATCATGGATGAAAATGAAGAACACGAAAAACCGATCGAAGCGAGAAAACGTAGCTATATCTCGACTATCGACAAACAATCCATAGAAATAGATGATCTAAAAAAACAATTGAAACTTGCACTAAATGACGTAAGTGCGGCTGAGGCAGAGCTATCAAGGCTGCAGAAACTAAAATTAGAGGCTACGTTGAAAGAAAAAAAGATGGAGGAGCTTGTCACAACATTACAACAGAAAGAAGAAGAATTGTCATTGAGAACTAAAGAGGCTGAAAATTTGGATGCCATTAAGGTGCTCTATAATCAAGATAAAACTCTTTGGGAGAGTAAATTGACAGAGACGCAGAATTTTCTTAAGGAATCCACAGAACATTGTGAGTTGTTGACGAGGCAGTTGACCTCTGCACAAGAAACTATTATTCAGTTACAAAAAGATCTGAATGATTTAAATGAAAAGCTACTCAAGAGCGTGAAAGAGAACGATAATTTGTATATTAGGATACAAGACCTTGAGAACCGATCACATGTAGAATCCGCTTCACCCACTAAGGAAAAACGAAAGAGTATGGATTCCCTTAGTGACTTGACAAATATAAACCAAGACTTGGATCTTGAATCCTTAGAAAAGGATAAGCTAATAGAAGAGTACGTCGAGTTAAGGGACCGATTTTCAAAAGCAATTCACGAAATCAAAACCATGAAAAAAGAACTACGAGATTCACATAACATGTATGATGAACTGGAAATTACGAATATCAAATTGAGGAATGAAATGAAGCTCCGAGAGCAGTGCAGCAGGTCTGAAATTGATTTAATGGCAGCGCGAATATTAGATTTGACACAAAAGCTAACAGCTTCAGACAAACAAGTGCGAACACTTAAACATAAGATACAAAAGTCGGAGTCTAGAGAGAAAAGAAGAAGCCTATCACTAAAAGGTAGAGAATCCCTCACTCTAGGTAAAGAAGTAGAAGAGAAGTTAACTGAACTGGAAAACAAGATCACTATGTTAGAGACTGGAGAATCGGTTCCTACGATAAATTCTCCGTCCAAGAGTGCATCTCCTGCCAAAGAAAAACCCTCCAAATCAGAGAACCTCACGGATGAGAAACGTATGAAGAGATTAGCCGCGCGGTTAAGGAGAAAGTCCCTAGACAGCGCTACCAGTTCTGAGCCCATGAAAATGCTAGTTCGACTGAGTTCACTAGAAACCAAAGTAGCGTCTGCTTTAGAACATCGTAAAGACCTTACAAATTCCTCTGAATCTTTGAGTCAGGTAACCAGATCCACAGAAAGTCCATCATCTTTCAATGAGACACAAGAGAATTCTAATATCGGTACGCAGTCACAAAGACATTTATTAGAGAGGCTACAAAGTCTAGAAAACGTAGTGATACACTCTAGAAATAAAGTCAATGAATGTCTTTGCCAGATGAGTGCGATGAGAGCAGCGAAGTCTAGAAGATCACCCTCACCGAGTCTTGAAAAGAAATACAGTCTAAAATCTATGGAAAAGTGCTTGGCAGATGTTAGTAAGAGGCTACAGGAATGTTTTGATAAGTGTGTCGTTGACTGTGACCAGAACCCGGACCAAGAAGTGAATGACAGCGTTGCTCAAGTGGTCGTTCAATTAGAAGAACAATTGAGAACAAAACTTCTTGAAATTTCTAAGAAAAAGGCTGCTTTGTATGAAGCTGGTGAACTTACGCAGAGACGAAGCCTAGAAATATTAGCAGAGAAACTAGCGTATGAGGCAGTCCTTGTAGGCCGAATACAAGAGGCGCTTGAATCATCAAATGGAAGTAGATTCTTCGCCCGATTGATTAAGTCTGAAATTATTGAAACTAGTCAACTAATAGATAACCTTAAACGGAAAATAAATGGCGATAGTGGCCGGAGCGGCGTAGGAACGAGGAGTTCACTGGATTATCTAGCGAGGATTCTCACGCGAAAGATTGATGTAAACGGATCCCGGGAATCACGTGATCAGCGTCGCTCTGAACTTATTATACACGGTGCTGACTTGGAAGCTTTAAAAGTGTCCCAACGTGAAGTAGCTGATGCAGTTGAGCGTTATAAGAGCGAAAAACTCGCTGAGCTATGCTCTGCGTTGGCCTGTGAAACTCTTAGCTACGCGACACCCACTGACACAGATACGGAACAATTACGAGCCAATATGGAGGCTGCACGTGTTCGTGAAGCATGGGCTGCAGCAAGAGATGCTTTAGGCGCTGAATTAGTCCAAGCTGAAGTTACAAGGGCATTATCACGAGCTGCTGCTCTTTGCGATCAGCGACTGGACCAAGCTCGTCACGCTCGGTTAACGCTCACTGCTCAAGATAGAGCCGATCTAGAGTTATGGTGGCAGGCAGCACACGATCACCTGCGCTGTGAAATGGACGCTGCCGTTAAAGACATTGCGGCACGATACCGTTCTTGCCTAACTAGCGACCGTCGTACTAAAGAACCATCTCCAGGACTAGACTCGCGAGCACTGTTACAGCAATTAGCCGAAGCTTTAGCTCAGAGAGCTCTGGTCGACGCTCGAGTTGCCGTCCTAGAAGGAACTTACCGTGCTTCATCACCTCCGGCCGACAGCCCTCGTCGTTCATCGGAGGACGCTCTCTCTTCCTTGGAGGCCGATCCGGCCCAGGAGGCGGAGTTCGTTTACCTGTTTCAACGTTTCTCGACCGAGTGCCGAGCGCTCTTCTCCAGTGACTGTTCGAGTAACAGTGAAGACTCGATGAAGATCGGCGAGAGCCTCGAGCGGGTGGAGGCGGCGGTGGCGGAGGTGCAGAGGCAGCTGGCAGGAGGGGAAGGCATCGATGCACCCAGCGCCGATGGCTCCGGCGTCCTCGACCGCGTCGAGGCGTTGCGCCGCCGCGTCGAAGCTCTGCAAGCGCTGGTGCCCTGCCAGCACTGCAAGCAGCTGCAAGACGCGTTGGACAGGTATGTGGCTTTTTACCTTAGTCATCGGTCGCAGTACCTTTTATATAGAATTCAACAATAGTACTCTATATGAAGTCACTAACGATCATTTGGAATAATTGACATTATGTTGAATTGGCAGATTGCACGAGGAGCGAGCGCGCGGCGAGTGCGCCCTGGCGCAGCAGGCGAGCGCGCTGGCGGCGGCGCGGCGGGCGCGCGCGCAGCTGCAGGCGCAGCACGAGCGCGAGCGTGCCGCGCTACGGGAGCGCGCACGCACGCTGCAGAGGCGCCTCGCCGCTCTCGACTCCGAGTACTCCGCGCAGCTCGAGAACTTACGCGCTGCCTATCAAGTAATTCAATGCGGATATATAATATGCTCGCAGTCGCCATTGTGTCGTCATCCGGTGACTTACTAATAATTTTTTATTTGTCTCGACAGAGCGCTGTGGCAGCCGACACTCACGGTGATGGTTTACGCGCCCGTTATCAACAGGAGATCGAGCAACTTCGAGCGCTCTGCGAGAAGGGATTACTGGCTATGGAGAGTTCGCACCGGCGTATCGTACGGGAAATGGAAGAGAAACACCGCGCCGAGAGAGAACAATTGAGGTAAACTACCGGCGTTTTCTTTTGGAAGATTGTACCCAGCACGAGAACAAGATAGAACTCAATATTATTAAACGGTACATTTTTGAGGAGAAGTTCAACATTTATGTTTTCAGACTAGACAAAGAGCAAGCCCTAGCTGAAGAAACTCGTGCAACGCTAGCCGCGTTAGACGCGATGCGCAAGGCGCACGAGAGCGAAGTACGACGCGAGGTGGACAAGTTTAAAGCAGAGTTCCTCAGCCGCGGCGTGCAGGGCGGGGAGAGACAACAGCTGAGTAACAGACACCAGTAAGTTTTATATTTTTCTTTTGAAGAAAAACAAAATACATTGCGTTTCATGTGTTGTCATTTGAACCACTTGGATTACAAAGTAGTGAGCTCTCAGATTTAAATCGGAGTTACTCGTAATTTCTTTATATTTAACCTTCTTCTTCCTCTGACCCTTTTTCCCAAAGCCGACCCCAACCTGTGGTTTAAACAATCACCAGCAACTGGCTTTCCGAGGCACGGAGCGGTCTCAATGTGTCTGGTCTGGTCACCCATCCATAGACTGACCGTGTTATGATTTTTTTAAATTTTACTTTGGGTGGAAATGTTATAGGAAGCGCACAAATTGTTTTTGTTTGTAGTTTTAAGTGCAACAAAAATAATATTAATAAAATGTGGTCTCGTTTAAAATAAGTTTTAGAAACTGTTTATATTGTTTACGTCGCTCATGACAAGATCAAATCACACGTTATTTAAAACTGCTCATTTTTAACAGACAAGAGATGGAGGAAATAAAGATGGAGATTCTATCGCTATCAGAAAAGTATTCAGTGAAGTGCGTGGAGTCTGCCGCGCTTGAAGAGCGCCTCTCCACTGCTACTGCGCAACTTGCGCAGGCGCATAATCATATCATGCAGTTAGACGCCAGGTAAATATAAGTACTTTGAGTAACATTGACTTGTTTTTAGTTATTTATTTATTTATGCTAAAACCATTCTCTACCAGTCTATTGGGTAATGTAGAAAAAAATTTAGACGACAGCTATAAGCGACGACTTGTAATTAACTCTCAAATGGCTAATCTAATGTTTATTTAATGTTATCTAGTTGTAAGTTTTCTATGGATAAAATAAATAAAGTAGGCTGACACACAACACCATCCAGTTTCAAACTAAGCAGAGCTTGTTGGGAACACACAAATACTCTAAAATATTTTATTCCGAATTCAAAGTTCCGATTTTCAAAAGTCCGAATTTCATAATACCCAAGAATTATAAGGTCTATTATTAAAATACACGAAATTTATTTTACTGAAAGTCATAAATGCAATTCGTTTGTTTTCCGATTTTTATACGTTCTAAGAATGAGATGCTGGAAGGGTTCTCAAAGACAACTCTCGCATACAAACATACATGAAAAATACACAAAGAACACCCAGACTCAGAACAACAAGTTGTGGATCACACAAAGTGTCATCCCATGTGGGGATCGGACCCACAACACTCGGCGTAATTATTATTAAGTCGGTCTTTTTGTTATTCGATCTATTGTATCTCGGTATTTTGAGCATAGTTGAGCATAGCAAATAGGAAAAATAAAAATAGGATGAATGATCAACCGGAGCTGTTACATTAGGAATTTTGAACCATTTTGAGTTATGAAAACCGGTATTTTGAAATTCGTATTTGCGACTGACATAATAAAGTTTTTCGTATTTATGTAGTGTACCCATGAAAGTTAGATTGTCTGATAGAATACTCATTTTTTTTTTGTAAATACATACATATAATATATATAAAAAACACCCAAACTCCGAAACAAATATTTGTTGATCATACAAACATCTGGTCCGACTCGGGAATCGAACCCGAGACATCAGCAATGTGAAATTAAATATTATTTACACTTTGGATTCACATCAGCATAGCAGCAATATGAATCCAGTGTAAATAATATATAATTTTTTAATTTGGATTTTCAGAAACAAGCAACTCCGCGCGCACTTGATATCGGAAGCGAACGATATGAAGAACACTGAGACGTCCACCCTTTCGCAGCTCATAGAGGACACTAACACGGTACGTGACCGCTCCCTCTGACCTTCACTCACCAAAGATCACGGAACACGCTTGTACAGCCTACGCTAAGCTTCTTTCCATTTTACCATTTCGAGGCAGAGGCCACGCTTGCATGCCCATACATTGCACGTAATGTTCACCGGTTCAAATCGATTTAATTCAATAAACTTGGACACCGTAAATAATTTTTGGTAAAATTGCAAAATCGATTTATGTTTTGTGACAATAGTAGTTTTTTTTTATAATTATTTTAATGATCTAAACTCGTATTAAATTTTTTTGAAAACTTAGTGTGTTTAGTTGTTGATAATGAGTTCTAAAAAAATAAGTGTTAAGTTCATGGATCGCACAAATTGAGCATAACACTAAATACTACAGTTTTTACTAATTTATTACTTATTTTACCTAAATAATGTTCACCAAGAGGTTTGGTCTCTCAACACGCTTAAAAATGTTGGCAATGGATTGGTATTATAAATCTAAAAGGGCTATGGTAACTGATACTTAGAAACTCATACAAGCGGTGGCTAAAACTAAAAAAAAACATAAGTACATTAATAAATTGATTCATTACATTTAACACGTAACTCCCTGGCTCAATTTCTGCGATCACGTAGGATAATATAACCTATAACGATACAGCTAGAGGAAAAGCCGTCGACTATTCAGTTCGAACTGTCACTAAACTTACTAAACCTAAATAATTGATTTTAAAAGTTATTATTAAAATGGCAAAATTGCAAAAAGTTATTAAGATGGGCAACAATAAAAGAGTCAGACAGATTCCTTCAGTTGTACCGTAGTGGGTAGTAGATTGTATTTGGCGTAACGGTCATGTATGGGGTGCACTAACAGCATGGGAGTGGGCGCGAGGCGCCGCTGTGGCAACACCTGCGACGTCTGGCGACAGTCTGGCAGACTGGCAGAGCCACCAACAACACAGGTAATACGCGACTATTCGCTTCGCGTGGTGTGGGAATTAGTCGAATGTTGGGTAGAGTCAATCACATCACTATTAGTCATTCCAATGATTTAGTTGTTAGCCAATGAGCTTGGGACAATAATTAAAGATCAGCGAAGATCGAAACATAATTAAATGTTTAAGTTGTGATTAATGTTTTGCCAATTATTTTTGCCATTTAACTAAAAAATAAATGTTGTGTTCAATATTACTGTCCAAGTGCCACACACCTATAAAAACAATATGATACAATTTACATTGAAAAAAAGATTCAGCCAGAATCCTCGCAGGCTTTTACTAGACGAAAACTTCAAATATTTTTTTAATAACATTATGTGACATATTTTTACTTACCGTGGTTTTGCCGTAATCTAAAACCAATCCTAGATACTTACTTCCATGTTACTGTCCACTTAGCTACATTGTATTTATACTTATTTTATCATAACAAATTAGAGATTAAAAAATTATACACGCTTTTGGAAATGATATCTCAATAATACGAGAAAATTAGAACCACATTGATTCTCTTAGTTTGTACTTAACACTCGACTATTAAAGTTTTGGCTTGTTCAATTTGGTTTAGAAGCACTTTTTTTTGTACTTTGATAATGAAATTTTGGATCGGTGATTGGTGAAAAACACATATTAGATTTTTGTTGTATTTTAGATGTCTTTATTTTGCTTCTGCGTTCGTATAATTTCCATACCATTTCAGCAAAAAGCTTCTTAAAAAATCTTATTACACCAAAGCAATTAGTATCAGTGTTGCCACACTTCGCCTGCCACAAATGGCAATTTGCTTTATTTGGCTTTATAAACCGTGAACTTTTAATAATGTAAATGTTTTTATTTAGGCGATGTCGTCAAGGTCGAGTCCACTGCTGGAGGCGGCTCGTCCAGCACGCAACAAGATACAGTACGCGAAGACCGAGAGCACCAGAAACCTGCAACTCTCACCCGTCCAGGTAACCGCTAGTAAACACAAACATGTAATAAGTCAGTGAGCCTCTACCTCAACACTTGTTCCTATGAATGTTTGTTTTTTTGGTAGACCAGAATCTCCTCAGTCCTTCTGACATACCCGTATAATATAAGTAGTAATCATCATTTTGGCAAATCATTTCGGCATCCGTGTGTCACCATACCTATTCATCCCGTGGGTGTCGTAAGAGACGGCTAAGGTAGCAAACTATGCAGGACAACAGCTCTATACCAACCCGTTTAGCCACGTGGTATAATATGGCAAAAACTCCTTTCTAAGGAGAGGCCTAGTCCGAGTCCAGCAGTGGATTATTCAAGGCTGATGATGTAATGTGATGTGATTTTGGCAAAGAATAGAACCAGATATTAAATCGCATTTGAACATAGTAAATATATTAGACTGCAAGATTAAATTTGTATTCTGTAAGTCTAGTCATCCTCGCAAATTAATTGAAAATTTCGTGTACCTAAGTGTGTTTCATCTTCCAGAACTAAAAGCGACACAGCGCTGCTCGGAGAGCGGGCGCGAAGTGCTCGCCCCGCTCGCGGGTATGGTCGCCGAGCGGAAGAAACGCTTCGAAATGCGATCGACACATACTTCTACGACGTCACTGCCGTGACGTCGCACACGCACCACCCACCACGCAAGCACCTGGCCACTAGCTTGTTTGTACTCCCACAATAACATGTATTTTATTATATTTAGGATTTTTGTATTTTCATATGATATTCACCCGATTAGGCAAAAGTTAACAAGTAATGTATATCGTTTATATAAATATATCGGGCATCTAGATTAGATATGATGAGAATATTAATTAAATGAAACAGGAGCTGACTTTTGATACTAAAAGTGTCTGTGTTTGTGACTTATATGTCTTATAAACCTTATTATAACGAGAATAACAATTAAGAACCTTAAAACTTATGAAGTAAGTTCTAAGTTAATCTAATCCAAATAAATACACATATAAAGGATTGATATATTATTAAACTATGGTTTAATTTTATTATTTATATTTTTAAGACCAAATACACTTTCTACCATAAAATACTAAGTGGCCAGACTTTTTTCCTACCCACCACACAAATGTATATAATCTTTGAGAGCAAAATATAATGTACTAAATCTTATGTGTAAGGTAGCTTTAGTAGAATTTGGTTAGTGACGTGACTTATGTAAATTAAACTATGTAAATACTAACATATCCTATGTTTGTTTTCTGTATCTTTAAGACATTGTTACCAAATATTTCTTTTATATTTATAATGTATTTTAGAGCGATGGAGACGTGATGATTACAACTTTTATAAAACAAATGGTAGATTCTTATTTAGTTTAACCTTTTGCTTTCTTGTACTAATTATTGTATATTCTTAACTGTTTCTAAGTGGTATTAATCTTAATACTTTCTGTTACGTTACTTTTATTTAATAATGAAATATGTAAGTCGATCTTACTATTATGTGTAGTTGTCGTGTCTCCAACGAAACTGAATACATTGTAACCGTGTTTTAAGAGCGTGGATTTATCTGAATGATGCGTGCCTAATTATACTAGTGTGTTTTGAACCGTATTTAGCATTTATAATTTTTTTAAAACGATATTGTCTATGACATCTTTGATTTTGACAAAAGTATTTATTTGGCGCGTAAATATCAAAGATGGCGGAATGTAAATGCTATTGACCGGGTCGTGTAGAGGCATATTTATATCTAATATCTTTAATATACGTTTACGAAAATAAAATATATAATTTGCGTTAATTTTGACTTTGAGCTCCACCTTACGTGAACTGTTACCAATCTCCTCCAGCTGGGCATTGAACCTGTCTTCCAACGCACGTATTCACATTGTTGTGTATAGTTTAACACTAATCTAATAGGAGATAGTTATGTTTATATTATCATGACACGAAAGCTGTATACATAATTTATATGAATAAATTGCTCAATGTTATCTAGTGCGTTAAAAATGATATACCAAAACTTATAGTATGCATTGTAAGTAACACAAATTGTAAGAAAGGACATTATGAAAGTAATTCTTCATGGCTATAATAAATTAACTTATCGTTACTTGTGCTTTTCTATACGCGGTCGGCGGCCGTGTATGTTTGTATGTGTTCTCTTGTTTTGTATGTGTGTCGGCATACGCGCGCCGTTGGCTGTACTAGTTGACATTGTGTTTATAACATATTATAAAATGAACATAAACTTACATAATACAAATTTATTTTTGTTTAATTCACGAACCCCTTCTACTCCATCAAAATAAGGTTACCTCGATCATCATAAAGCAAGTGACATTCTTGCCATATGGCCATATGGCTGTAAGAAATGTTGTCGAAGAAATCTGACTTAATCAAATTATAATTAAAACTCCACTCATCTCACACACGGCAGTCTGATCCCAAACTAGGCAGCGCCTGTGCTGACTGCTAATAAACGTACTTGAATATTTCTAAATACTAAAAAAATTACACCCAGACACAACGAATGATCGTGATCATCACACAATCCCCTTATTTGTAAAAGGTGGGAATCGAACCCACGACCTCCTGCTTACCAGTCAAGGTCACTTTACACTAGGCGAAAAAACGAATTTTCAAGGTTTATCTTTTCATCTTTCAGGATCGTTTTCATCGTTTAGGTATGAAAAGAATTTTTGAAATACGTTGACCATTGTGTTTTCTATATCTGGAACTATATAAGATTTATCACCTAGTGTTACAGAATATAAGCAGACAGTCAATAACAAATCCTCACCTGAGAATAACTCGTGAAGATAACTAAAAAAATATTAAATTTTATAATCTGACTGATCTGATCTATTAAATTGACTGGACTGGTGGCCGCTTCCTGCTGCGCTGAGTGTTGTGGGTTCAATCCCCACATGGGACGACACTTTGTGTGATCCACAAATTGTCGTTCTGAGTCTGGGTGTTCTTTGTGTCCGTTTCATATATGTTTGTAAAGTCCCCCGCGACACAGGAAATATTCCTGGCATATTGTCTTTAAAAAAAACTCATAAAAAAAGGCTATAATAATATGAAACCCAGTTTTCAGGAAATTCTCAATCCTATAAGTGATTCGAGTCCTCTAAAAGTATCAAGATACGTCAATAACAAAGATATGTTATCATTAGTTATACTCATTTTAGAGAAACTCCACCCAATCGACATCTCATGACTTGATTTTATATTGTTTTACTTAATTATTAAAAATAAAATAAAGGATACACTAGTGAAAATAAAGGCGCATTTATTTCATAAACTAAGAACAATTTATTATTTTGAGTTCATGCACTTAATAGTAATAAATTGGCAAGCATTCTATATACACTTCAATTCAAAGAACAAGCATATTTCTTCAAGCATAATTCTTAAGTTGACTCATATTAAATATGACTTATTTTTAATTACAGCTGACTTTAAACCCTTTCAGGACACGGAAAGAATTGTAATACGCATACTGCTATTGGTAAACTGGTGTAGTTAATTCAGTTTATTAGTGTTATAATAAAAATATACTGAGATCCATATTGTTATTAAAACATGTTTTATTAAATAGTCAAGTCAACCAAATTATCGCGGTGACGATGACATTGTGTTATAAATGAAGATAACAATAGCTTCTAGTCTTTCGTATCTTACCATAGTTTGAGATTCATGGTAACACTACTGCTGTGGAACCAGTATGCACATAGTAACTAAACGTGCTAGCGAGCTTCATAATGATGAAAACCAAAACATCACTCATCAATTTTTCTTTTTGCATTCATAAATTTAGGTCTCACTAACATTATAATCTATCTTAAATCTTTACATGTTATTTTTTGACGTGACAACGTCTTATAATTGCTCATGCGGCGTTACCTCGCTTTGAGGCGTTCCATAAGGCTTGAAGTGCAAGCGAGAGCGCGGAACGAGCGACAAAGAGGCACAATCGGCCTCCGCCTTCGGCAGAGTTTGACATCTGTCTCTCTCCTACTTGAGTGAGCGATTCGTCCGCGTGGACAGCTGCTATACAATAATATATTTACATGTTTTCGTAAAATGCAACCATTCCATCAGTATTTTCTTATGACGTTGTCACGTTCAACTATCGTCAGTAAACCGACTTTACAGACAACCGATTTTTTATTTATACAGGGTTACTGGGTAAGTCGACCTAAATACTTTAACGGGTTGTAGTTGACATAATTTCTGATAGATTTCACTATGAAATACCATATCCCAAAAATAACAATTTTCAAGTAATTGGACTTAGACAGTAACCCTGTAAATGTATTTTTGTCTGTCGCCACTCCATTCTCCCTATATAAAAGCCTATTACAGGGGATTCTGAACCATTTATAAATGTATGAGAGGTTGTGCGGCTTCCTCCCTTTGTTTGGCAATTCTAGCGCGCCACACGCTTCTGTCGACCAAGATTTTACGACCGTATGACGTATGAATGTCACGGAAATTTACTTTCTTAAGAGCCAAATCTGGTCGCAGGTTTTCTTTATCTGAAAATGTAATAGTATTATTATTATTGTACATTTATACACATAGTTTTGGGGTAGTACACCTTAATAAGGAAAAAAATAACTAACATTTAGTAACAGATAATACCGCCGCTGTGCTAAATGAGGATAAACTCAAATTGACCAGAAAATTTCCAACAGTATATCCGCTTTTTGTTGGAATAGGTTAATTAAAATACAATACAATTCGTTTATTTGCTGCAATGTTGTAATACAACACACACACTTTGAACTTTTCACTAACACTTTTCACCATAATTGGATCCCTAATCCGTTTGAAAACTGGAATATGTGTATACAAAAACAGTTGACAACTCTAAACGGGCAGTTTAGGAGCGAATCATGCGTTCCTAGTTCTCTAGCTATAATATTTCTCTTTATAAAAGGAAAGTTAAAAAGAAAAAAACAAGTAATACAATAATAGGCCTGCTAAAAAGTATACTTCGTTTTTTCCTGTGTAAATTTTATTTTATTTATTAGGGACAAAAAACAGTTATACAATGCAGTCTTTACAATTGATTTAGCATTTACATATTTAAAACGTATAACCCACACTATTGTCCACGACAACGCCGCGAGACGCAGGGCTGAGCGCACGCGTGATTGTAACCGTAGTCAGTGACATTTTTTCACGAGTACCCACTTTATTTATTTTTTGATAAAATGAATGAAGATTCGAGTGGAGAAGAGTTGAGTGATTCAGAGGTGTTGATGAGATGTGAAAGTGAACTAAAGGAAATGGAAAATGACGTGAGCAGAAAAGAAATTTGTGGAGATGGACAAGGGCGGTCTACAGAGAAGAGAAAAGAACGAGAAGATGAGTATAGTGAAGATGACTTTATTACTGTTACTAGAAGGAGGCCAAAGCGCTTAATTAGGAGTGAGTCAGTTGAAGAAACAAATCAAAGGGCGGTACATCGAAAAGAGGACGCTAACATGGAACCTGCTAAACATGAAGTATGTATTACCTCATTAGAATTATTACCTAAGCCGATTGCCATGGCTAAGTTGCTTCGTTCAAATAATATAAAAGATATCTTGAGGATTAAATATAAAAGTTCATATAAGGTGTTAATTCAATTTCAAACCAAAGAAGATGCTATTAAGTTAGTAAATTGTCAAGAAATTAAAGAAAAAGGCTTACGGTGTCAATCAATACAAGAACAGGCAATTTGTTATGGGATTGTGAAAGGTATGGACCTTGAGTTATCTGAAGCTGAACTTATTAATATTTTAAAATCAGACGTTGAAATTTTATCAGTAAGAAGACTAAAACGTCTGAGTTCAGATGGAAAATGGATTGACTGCGAAACAATAAGAATGAGTTTTAATAGTAAAACATTACCTCATTACATTTATGTTTACGACTGTCGATTTCTTGTTGAGTCCTATGTATTTCCGGTAACCCAATGTTCGGGTTGTTGGCAATTTGGCCACATTATTAAATATTGCCCAACCAAAAAGATTCTGTGTCCAAAATGCGGCGGAAATCATGAAAACTGTACCGTAACAGATTTTAAATGTCTAAACTGTAAAGGTAATCACATTGTACTGGATAAAAGATGCCCATTTTTCTTGAAGGAAAAAAGTATTCGGAATATTATGAGTGAGAAACAAGTCACGTATAGAAGAGCCTTACAGATTTATAGTGAAAAGAAACAAAAATATAACATAAATATGATGACACAGGAAACGTCTAACACTTACCTACTGACTGAACCTACTATTGCAAAAGAAACATATAGTAGTGCCGTATCTAAATCTATAACACATCACCCACAAATAAGTAATATAGGGGAGGAAGAAGGAGAATTGGAGGAAATTGTTAGCCCAACACAAAGTGTATATAAACCACAACGAAAACAGAAACATAAGAAAAGAATAAATCAGTCAGGGCAGAAAGAAAATGAACAGGGGGATTTTATGGAGGAAGATATGAATGAGCAGCAGAAAGAAAGTACACAGTTTATGTACAAAATTGGATGGACGAAAATGTGGAAGCAAATTAGAGAGATTTATAAATCTGAATGTAAACTAGAAGAGAAGCTGTTGTCTATTTTGAAAATGATTGGGGAAGAATTGAAGAAATTTTTGGTTAAAATAATATTTGGCGAAGATATTTGGGAATATATAAACTATTCATGTAATGGATAATTTACAAAAAATAGTAACGATGAATATATTTCAGTGGAATGCACAGAGCCTGCGACCTAAGCTTGTATCCTTTTCTGAAATGCTATTACGTGAAAATATCCATATCGCTATTGTCAGCGAGACGTGGCTTAGTTCTGAAATTGACATAAATGTTAGTGGATATAATATATACAGAGTGGATAGACAGGACGGCTGGGGTGGGCTGGCTTGTTTAGTTCATAGGTCAATTCTATCACATGCAGTTTCCCTTAGTTGTAATAATCTAGGAATACAGATTTTATGCATTAAATTAATAAACTGTAAAGATTTGGAACATATCATATCTGTGTACTGCCCTCCCAATGTGCCAACCCAAGACTCAGACTGGAATGATATTTTCTCTTATTTTACACGTAAAACATTAATAGCAGGAGACTTCAACGGCCATCACACCAACTGGTCGGTTAGGTCAAATACTAGGGGTAAACAAATATGGGACGCAGCGCTAGATAATGGTTATATTTGTATAAATGATGGTTCTATCACCCGGATTAAGTTAGTAAATGGGAATTTGCAGAAGACTTCACCAGACATAACATTTGCATCATCTGACGTTGCAATAAAATTTAATTGGCAAGTATTTAATGAGAATCTTGGTAGTGACCATCTAGTCATTAAAATATCGGCTAATCTGTCTAATACTGTACTTATTATCAAAAAACGAAACTATAGAAAGGCTAACTGGGTTGAATACCGCAAAACCATTTCTCAAAAAATTAATGCTTTTGATGATCAAAGATGTACAGACGTTCAACAGATATACGATTTTTTTATAAATATAATTGATGATGCGGCCTTAAAGCACATACCATATTTTAAAATTACCTCAAAACCTTCAGAAAAATTTAAACCTAAAAGTTATTGGAGCCCTCAATTATCACTAATAGTCGCACAGCGTAGACTAGCTTTATCAAATTTTCGTAAAAATCCAACACCTGAAAATTTACATCAGTTAGAATTGAAAACTTTGGAGTCTCAAAGATTAATTAAGAAAGCCAAATATCATAGTTGGCAAAATTTTTGTAACTCCTGCAATGAAGTAACGTCTGTGTCTGATATGTGGCGCCGTATGAGATGGATTAAAGGCATTAAACAGAAAGGGCTATGCTCACCTATTGAAAAACAAATTGAAATGCTACTTTCTCTGACCCCAGATCATGCATCCAACTCAATTCCAAGGTTTATTTCTGAAAATCATGTTTTGGAATCTAAATTTAGAATTGAAGAACTCGATAACTGCCTTAAAAAAAAGGATACTGCTCCTGGCCAGGATGACATATCGTATTCGATGATATTTAACCTACCAGATGTGGGAAAATTGTTTTTGCTTAAAATCTATAACCTAGTTTTTCAATATAGTATTGTTCCGCATCAGTGGCGTGATATCCAAATATTTCCTAAACCTAAAAAAGTAAATAATAATGAAATTAAATTACGACCTATCTCATTAATGTCATGTGTGTGTAAAATATTTCACTTAATGCTTAGTCAACGCCTAGAATGGTTTGTAGAGAAGAACAAGCTTTTGTCAAAACATACAGTGGGCTTTAGAAAGTCACAATCGTGCTTGGATTCACTATCTAGGTTAGTTTCATATATTCAAAGCGGTTTTACTAAAAATAATCCTACGGTAGCATGTTTCCTAGATATAGAAAATGCATACAATAATGTTTGTGTAGAATCTGTTACGAGAACCTTAGATGAAATGCAAGTTGGGTCCAAGATTTGTAATTATCTCTGGTCTTTCCTAAGTGAAAGGCATCTTAAAATAAAATCATCTAACAGTGAGGGAGTAGAACCAAGATGGACTGATAGGGGGTTGGCACAGGGAGATCCGCTGTCTCCGTTATTGTTTAACTTAGTAACATACCAAGTATGTCATCAGATACAGAATGTTTTTGTCTCTCAATACGCAGATGATTTTGTTATTTATATAAGCGACAGAAATATTAATATCTGTGAACGTCAGTTACAGAGTGCACTGCATTGCCTAACCGATTTGCTAGCAGAAATAGGGTTGACTTTATCACCGACAAAAAGTAATTTTTGTGTTTTCAGTAGAGGTCGCAGAAGAATATTACCAACGTTAGAATTATATGGGCAACGATTAAATGCAATGGATAGTGTCAGATACTTAGGAATATGGTTAGATAGAAGTTTAACTTGGGGAAAACATATTAATGAAACAGTTGACAAATGTACTAGATATTTAAATTTATTAAGGTTATTAGCAGGGAGTTCATGGGGTATGCATACTAAACATATGCGTAGGATTTATATAGCATTGATAAGAAGCCGACTTGATTATGGTTGTTATTTATACGACTCCAGTGCCAAAATACATACATCCAAAGTAGATAAATTACAAAACCGAGCACTTAGAATTGTAGGCGGTTTTATAAAAAGCTCACCCATTCATGTGATGGAGAGTGAGTTGCACATACCACCGTTGTTCGTGAGACGGAAATATCTTGCTCACAAGTTAATTCTTAAATCATTATCTTGGTCTAATAACATTAATTTAGATATTTTTGCGGAATTAGGTGCGCTTATTCACAATAGTTACTGGACAAATAAAAAGAAACCCCTACTTGCTACTACTTTTAATGAACTATGTCAACTCAAAGTGTCCTCTCATGAAATTCTTCCTATGTTCACTTTAGATATATGGGTATCAGGTATTAAAATTAATAAATGTATTCAAAGTGATTTAGAATGCATTACCTATTCAAAACAACGTTATAATCCTAGTCTCTTAGTAAAGGAAGTGGTGTCAGAACTAGCTTCGAAGTATAGCGAATTTTATAGAATTTTCACAGATGGATCAAAGAATAGTGATGGTGGTGGAGCAGCATTCTTTGTCCAGAATATAGACAACAAAGGCTGCTTTAGAATTAGTGCTAATATCTGTATCATGTCAATCGAACTTATTGCAATATATCAAGCTGTACTCCAGGCATCTAAAGAAAACTGGGATAGAGTTGTCGTATTTACTGACAGCAAGAGTGCTTTACAGCATGTGGCTCGATGCGCCTCTGGTTGCAGAGGTGCATCGATAGCCTACGAAATTCTAAAACTCCTTAATATCCTCAATAAAGGGGAAATTAGGGTGATACTGCAGTGGGTCCCTGCGCATATAGGTCTAAGGGGCAACGAGGAGGCTGATCGTTTGTCAAAATTTGCAGTAGAGGAGGGTGATGAAATATCATATATGCCAGATTATTGGGAATACACAAGCAAATTTAAATTACTTTGTTTTGATAAATGGAAAGCTCACTTTAATGATATTTCTAAAGAAAAAGGTATCTGGTATAAAGTAATTCAAGATGAACCCACTCGTGCGCCGTGGTTCGATGATGTTAATATTAGTAGAAATTATGTTAAGTTAGCGTTAAGACTTCGTTCGGGACACTATCCGTCGGCAAAGTTTGCTTTTCTTATGCGTAAGGTACCATCACCTAACTGTGACATGTGTGGCAAAATTGAAGATGTGCAGCATTTGCTGATGGATTGTGTCAGGAACGGGGATGAAAGGGAATTATTGATTAGACAATTTAAATTAAATGTTATGGACGTTGGGCTTGTTCAAAGTATTTTGGCGAATCCAAAGACGGAAATTGCTATGCGGATGTGTGCTTTGGTGGAAGTCTGCCACAACAATCATCAATAATTCCCTTTTTTTTATTTTATTTCATTTAGTAAATATTAAGATATATTGTGTTGTATATGATAAGGTACGATGGGGTTGGCGTATCCTTTTGGATAAAAACCCCTTATTAAAAAAAATAAAGATTAAAAAAAAAAAAAAAAAAAAAAATTGTCCACGAGTTTATAGATGAAGTAGAAAAGGTAACGGACGCGCACTATAAACAATCGGTGGATTATATGTAATAATATAAGATAGGTAGGTAGTTAACTGAGAATGTTATCAAAGATCAGCAAGAATTTCAGTGGCAATTTTTTTAAATTTAGAGTGAGTGAGAGCGAAAATATCCAAGCTCGTAACATGTGAGTTGTACGTTGTCAATAATCGGCGAAGAGGTGCACGGATGGCGTAGTGGTAGCCGCTTACTACTACGCTAAGTGCTGTGGGTCCGATCCCCACATAGGACTACAATTTGTGCGACCCACAAATTGTTGTTCTGAGTCTGGGTGTTCTTTGTGTCCGTTTCATGTATGTTTGTAAAGTCCCCGGCGACACAGGATATACTTACTTATTCCTAATGCGTGAGTTCTTTAAAAAAAAAAAACAACTAACTTGACTGGTGGTAACATAGCTGTAGCTTAAGGACAAAAGCTATAACATAATTCATCATCATCATCATCATCAACAGCCTTTAATAGCCCACTGATGGACATGGCCTCTCCTTATAAGGTGGGTTTTGGCCTACTATAAAACGTTCGCTAGATGGGTTGGTATAGGGTTTGTGTCAAAGTTTTCCTTCTCTCTGCAGTGCTGTTTTTCTGCGTAGTTTTTTCCCTTAGTCGGCTCTTACGATACCCACGGGATGAATAGGGGTGGTGACACTCCATATTTTTCTATCACCACATGGACTTAATAACATAAATGATGCAAGATGAAATAATACTTACGGTGTCTGCTTCCTTGTACAGTCTTAGTATCACTTTCTGTGACCCTGTTAAAAGGATTGTAACGTTGACCTCTTGGTGGTACCTTGGGCTCCTCCTCAGGGGATGTGATTGTTACTAATGCTGCTTCGGCCGCTGCTTCAGCTGTTTAATGGGAAACAAAGCATTCAGTACATGGAAACATAAACAATGAAAATATCTTCTTTGGTGGAAGATACTGGCTGACTGGCCTGTTGATCTAGTGGTTAGTGACCCTGACTGCTATGCCAGAGGTCGTGGGTTCGATTCCCACCCAGGACAAATAATTGTGTAATGAGAGCCGTCATTTGTTCTGTGTCCAGGTGTACTTTATCTATAATAGGTATGTATTTAGAAATATATAAATATGTTTATCAGCAGTCTGGTTACCATACTACAACCTCTGCCTAGTTTGGGATCGGACCGCCGTGTGTGGGATGTGTGAAAATATAAATATAAGTAACTAACAGACTAAGCATCCATCCATATGCTTTCACAACATTTGTCTTTAGTTATACAACATAGTTTATTGCCTTAGTTGGCTCTTACGACACCCATGGAATGAATAGGTATGGCGACACACGGATGCCGAAATGATTTGCCAAAATGATGATTACTACTTATATTATAATAATAATAATAATAATTCTTTATTTTTCTTCTCACAATCACCAATCAGTACAATATTAACTTACATCAATAACTAAAATTAGAAACAGTAATTGTGAGAGGACTGGTGTCTGAATTAGACATAAGCCTGTAGCTCAGATCACCAGGCACTCACCCTTCTTAAACATTTCTTTGCTGTCAATACATTATCAATGCAAGTCAAGGAAATACATTTAAAGTTCAGAGAAGATAAAAATCATAAGGATACCAATATATGAATACGAAACACATCTTAAAAGAAAAGGAGAAATAGACAACATGCCGGATACCTCAAAGTATGTTTTGCGCGTGTGTGAATATGTGTGTGTATGTTTGAATGAATGAGTATATATGCCTGCCTGTAGTGCGCGGTGGTGACATGTGGTTATGGTGGTGACACTCTGTATTGATCTGTAGTGATCCAAAAACAGTTGCAGACTTGTTCGCCCTACAATTTGAGGCATCCTTTGTTGTGGAGCCAGCTTATTTGCATGTCCCAAGCATAAGGATTCCTCGAGTTGAAAATTCTATTCGGTCACTCATATTCACATCAGACAAAGTGAGTAAGGCCTTAAAAACATTTAGTGATTCTACTTCGATGGGACCGGATGCTCTACCTTCAATTTTATTGAAACAATGCAGCGATGTTCTTAGTTCCCAGCTGGCACACATTATGAACCTATCAATGCAAAATGGGAAACTACCTCAAGAGTGGAAAGTAGCCCATGTTACCCCAATTTATAAAAAGGGTGATAAACACCTGGCCGCTAATTATCGGCCAATCAGCCTCACGAGCATTGTCTGTAGAACGATGGAGAAAATTATAGTTAGTGAACTTTGAACTTTCATTAATAGGGAAAACATCATTATCGATGAACAGCATGGTTTTGTTCCTAAAAGGTCTACAGTCTCGAATCTCCTTGTGAGCTTGGACAAATGGACAAACCACTGGGACAACCATCAGCCCATCGATGTTATTTACTTGGATCATGAAAAAGCCTTTGATCGGGTACCTATTAGAAGGCTTACAACCAAACTTGAACACCTTAGAATTCGTGGGCAACTCTTGAAATGGATAGAGGATTTCCTAAGCAACAGAAAATTCAAAGTAAGAGTAGGCGAAACACTATCAGACACTCATAATGTACACAGTGGTGTGCCTCAAGGCTCAGTGCTTGGACCGATCCTGTTTGTGCTGTTTATAACGGATTTGAAAAATGTCGTTCACTCTAACTTGTCAGTATTCGCAGACGATACCAAAATTATGGGAAACCCCCTAATTTCTCACAATATAATTCAGCAAGACCTGGACCGTATTATGGAGTGGACAAGAGAATGGATGATTTCACTCAATGAGACTAAGTGTACTGTACTACATATCGGTAATAATAACCCTAAATACAAGTACACAATGGATTCTGTGCCATTGAAAGTAGTAAACTCACAAAGGGACCTTGGAGTTATCATAACACATAACCTTAAATGGGATGAACACATCACAATGATAACAAAAAGGGCGAATTCATTGCTGTACATGATAAGAAAGGCATTCTATGTTATTACCAAGGAGCTGTTTCTTAACATCTACTTAACATACATAAGACCTCTGCTAGAATTCGCCTTCCAAATATGGAATCCATATTTCAAAAAGGACATTGAGATGTTGGAAAGGGTACAAAGAAGGGCAACCAAAATGGTTTTCTCTTTAAAAAACGTATCATATGAAGAACGCCTCTTGGAACTCAAATTGCCAACACTGGAACAGAGGAGAATGAGAGGAGACCTCATAGAAACCTACAAAATACTCAACCACCATTACAACGTGAGAGATATTGAATCTATGTTCACAATGAACCTGAACAAGCAGCTAAGGGGTCATTCTATGAAGCTCAGCAAGCACCTGTGTACTAGTAATCCAAGAAAACATTTTTTGCCTAACCGAGTAGTGCATATGTGGAACTCTTTGCCGGAAACTGTGATAGGTGCCCAGAGTATTAACATTTTTAAAAATAGACTTGATAAACATTTAAATGCACAAGTGTAATGATATACACGCATCAGCCTTAAGCTGCTAGTGTATTAAATATAATAATAATAATAATAATAGGGACAGTTGAATCATCATCATCATCACATCAACAGCCTATACTAGTCCACTGCTGGACATAGGCCTCTCCTTAGAAAGGAGGTTTTGGCCTACTATACCACGCTGGCCAGACGGGTTAGTATAGGGTTTGTTTCAAGTTTTCCTTCTCTTTGCAGTGCTGTTGTCCTGCTTAGTTTGCTCCCTTAGTCGGATCTTACGACACCCACGGGATGAATTGGGGTGGTGACAGTTTGTATTCTTAATCCGTCACCACACGGACAGTTGAATGTACGAGTACAATAGAATGAAGGAATCTTGCAAATATGATAATACCTTGAGCTTCATCCAACTGTCTCTGCAGGTCTGAAACCATTAGCTTCATATAGTCATAGCTTGCACAAGCCAGTGCTTTCATCCAGGTTTCCATGGAAGCCTGGGAGTTAGTGCATAAGTAATATGTACGGCCATTCTCACATTGGAAAACTATCTTGAAGCTGTATGCTTCTTCTTCTGTCAGCTCTGTAAAATATAAATTGAATTTCAAAGTTACAGTGTGGAAATTACTATCGTTCATCTATTGCAAAGTAAGGATCCTCCAGCCTGGCTAGGTAGGTGATCATGCCAAGCAAACTATGGTAAATCAGTTGGGAAGAAGAACATGTACTAATCAGTGCGAGAACTTTATAACGAACTAGCTGACCCTGCAAACGTTGTTTTGCTATTTACATTATTTAATTATTATTAATTTTTTTTAATTTCTTAAAATCCGTTCTTAGCTGACCTCTACTCGGTGAAAAAAATATTCCTACCAAATTTCAAATCTTTAGCTCTAATGGTTCCAGAGATATTGTGATGAGTTACTATATACGTGGAAATCACTTATATATATATATATAGATATACTAACTTTTAAACTGTCATGTTTCATCAATGCCATTAAATAAAATTAAAGTGTCGGGAATCGAACCCACTAAGGCAGCGCATTTCAAATTCCACGCAAACAAAGTCACGTTGCCAGCCAGTGATATATAATTATGTTTATGGAAATTAACATGCTTACTGACCTGACCATGACCAGTGCAATTTTGTCGAAATAACAGGCAATTAAAATGTGATATTTCCCGTAAACATAATTATAATTTATTTGGACTAGTTTACACACAAAGTTTGTTACATGACATTGAAGTATGTTTCCTATTAATGTGGAAATTATCAACATATATCTTCACTAATTGTAAGCTAATTCAAAACTTCAATAGCTAGGAGATAGTGTTATTACACACCCGCATGAAAAAATTATGCAACAATATGATAGAGTATCTAATATGGTAGAGTAATTAATTTAATTTTGATTTTTAGATCTTTATTAAAACATATTTTTTTAGTTTGCTGGTTTGGTGATATTTACAACGCTATCTACTTATCTCAGAATATTATGAGTTTCATTGAATGCAGGCCTTGTCTTGCTACCATGACTAAAAGAGGAAAGAAGTACCACTAACTGTCTACTGTGTACTCATCTCAGTACACACCTACCTAATTATAAAGTAATTTTCCACATTTCTCAATATAATATTAAATACAATGCTTATTAAAAGCATTTTCTTAATTCTTTACCCTCACATAGAGAGTATAGGTAGGAAATAATACCCATAATATTTAAACTGCAGTTAACTACAAAATAAAGTAAATGTCATTCTTTTTTTAAGAAAATTATTTAGTTTTAACTAAAAATCACTCACAATAGTAGGTATACTAACTGATGCATATTATAAGAAGTGAACTCTTGAATAATAAAAAACAGACTAAAAGTAATCCTCACCAATGGTACATCCCTCCAAAACGATCACTCCCACTGGTTCTTTGTCTCCTTTCTTGTCGAAATAAAACAGAAGATTCCCTTTCAAAACAAACCATCGTTTCTGATAACTTTTGCCGACTTCGCCCCTCATATCCAGCCATCCGTCGCGATCCACAGGCGTCGCAGACGATGCGAAAGCGCACAAATTCTTTTCATTTATTTTCATTGTCATTTATAAATAATTACAAATTTAAACCCACTAAATAGCAATGCTTTGCAATAAAAATATTTTTAAGTGCCAGGCCAAACCGCTGCAGATACTCTTTAATTATTTTATTAAGTTGTTATTAAGTAGGAGCATTTGTAGAATTATACCAATCAAAACATATTTATCAGTCATGGTCAGTCAGTGGTCACCTGGACACGTCAGTGTCACTGTCAGTCAGTCAGTCAATTTAATACACAGATAACTATATACTGATACAATAGTTCATTTTAGTGTTAACGGTGTGTGTGTTGCCAGTCAATAAACTTAAAAATAATTACTTTTATTTTTAGATTTAGATGCTGAAAAAACAACACTCACGGAAACGAGTCAAAACCCAAAAGTCAACACCCTCGAGCACCCAATCACATGATATTCGTATCCCTCAACAGTGATTCCGCAAGAGAATAAAGCCAAATTTTCCATGAACAAGAAATAATATGTCTCTCTGTTCCGAGAAAACAAAAAAACTAACCCCCTTCGGTGTCTATATTTAATTAAAGCTAAGAATAACAACTTATAGGAATCTATCAGGATACAGGCTTTTATCAATTGTTTTGACTGCTTGCCTGTCTATATATTAAAATAATAATAACAAATATCGATCAAGAATATTCGAGATGGCAAAGTTGAGTGATAGTCGCCCGAAGAATCTCCGCATGTCCTCTGCTGAATTAACAAGGCTGAACTTTGGGCTTGACAGAAAAGTAGAGCCTCCTTTAAGGAGAAGCAAGCCAGGTAAATACCCAGAGCCGCATAAGTAAGGGGCAACAAAATTGAATGTTTTGAAATAAATACCCAGCTCGAGGAACAAGTTATTTTCAAGTTTTTTTTTTAAAATACTTTAGCATCTAAAAATCCTTAGATGGAGAAACATATATTTTGAAATGCTTTCTTATCTTGAGTATTCGAAGAAATTTCCATGAATTTATACAGATTTTACATTTCGGTCTTTATTCGGGAATTCCACATTAAAGTAAAGTGGGTAGCCATGAAAAGTTGCTCAATTATCTAAAAGTGCCTTTACTTGAACATGAGTTCTTTATTTGTGATAATATGTACCTATAAAATTTTTACGGAACTGTAGGCAAGTCCGACTGGCACTTTTCCCGTTTTCAATTACATACTTAGAATTCAGAGAACTGACGACTGATGGGAATGAAAACCGTGACTTATTGAAATCAGGGAATCATGGACATGGATGGTACAGATGGTCTATAGTCAATGGTATCAGTAGAATCTAAGGAGAAGGGCGCGGAGGGACTATAAAACCAATCTGTCAACAGTGTCAACCTGTTTTGTTTGTTGCTAAATAAATATTATTATTTAAGATATTCAGAATTAACAAACATGTAATAATGTAAATGCAAAATGGTTGGAAAAATATGCACAGTTTGTCGAAGATGTTCTTACAACAATAGACACTTGTCATTTTTTACTTATCCCAGTGATCCAATAAGGTGAACGATTTTAATTATAATGAACTTTCTAATCCTATTTTTATTTCAAAAATGAACAGTTTACTATAATTATTCATCATAACAATTTTGTAAATATGAATATGTTCAGTTTGTTGTAGAAACCTATAGTCTAAACTATTTAAAAATAGTAATAAATAATAATGTTAAACATACTTATACAATATTACTGTTTGTTTTTAACACTTAGGTTTCTTCATAAGTTATGGTATTGGAGTCCAATTATAGAGAAGTAAGGGATCCCCATTGTTTGTTAATATGTCCATATACAGTAGTATACTAAAGGGATGATGATGATGTCTTCCTAGACGTATTCGTCGACGGCGACGCCCTGTCACCTTTAACAGCTCCGTTCATGCGCCCGTACGTGACTTGCAAAACCGAATCTATCGAATACATGGTCACATGAGGCACAGTGAAGTTACCCCGCGTATTGTAAGTGGACAGCTTTCCTCCACTCCATTCTGTTTCTAGCCAGTTCCTCCCATAACCTTTGGGGGCAAGTTGATGGCTATTAAATGGCGCTTCAGCACATCCCTGAATCGCAGATATTGTCCTCCAGACCGGCGTTCACCTGAGCTGATCTCCGAGTAAAAAACAGCTTTTGGTAATCTAGAAGACCCCATATGCACCAGCGCAGGTGACCCTTCATTAGAAGGCTCTCCATGCTCGCTAGACCTGTCCAATGAAAAAAAAACATTTTTTTCGTTGGACTATAGGGATAACATCAACACAAGTAGTTTTCTGTTTTTTAAATATTTAGTACTTTATTTAATAATGTATCTTTTCAGGAGATATGAATGGCTTGAAGCAGTCGATCGATTAGACTTACTACAAAAATTAAACAATCATAAAACTAGAGGTAATCACAGAATATGTGAAATACACTTTGAGGGTATATATGTGAAGAGATCCAAGTTGAATGAAGGGAGAAAGTGTTTGTCTAAAGACGCCTTCCCGACCCGGTGTCTCGCTGCAACGGCAATGTATAAAAAAAATGCTATTTGGGGAAACTCCACTAACCAAAATACTCCAATTGGGAAACAGATCCCAACACCATCAAGATACAATCTGCGGCCTGTCAAGAAAGAGAAAAAGTACATTGATGATGATGATCAAGACTCAAATATAGAAGAAATTGTCCCCTATAACTATAAAAGCAACCGTCACACTGAAGTGAAAACACCACCAAGCCCACCGTATTATGTAGACCCATCACTGTTCTGCGAGAGTGTTATTAAAGTTTCTCAGAGCACACAAACTCCTCACAAATCTATTTTAAACATTAACTACCAAAGAAAACTCGAATACCCATCGGAAATAAAGAGACTGAGAGCTGAAAGGGCCACAAGTGGAGATGAAACATTTATTGAGACAAATTCACAATTCCTATCCCCTAATTTAGCTAAGCTTATCAAATGGCGCCTAAGCAGTGCCGATAGCAATGAACAGATCAAACTTGATTTGTTTGCGCTTAACTTATATTATTCCACTAATTTATATAATTTATTAAAGGATATGTTAAGTCTTCCATCCAGGGAAAGTCTAAAGAAATTCCTTCTTCCGAAAACTACAAGGTTAAGTGAGCATTTCGTGAACGCATTTAGATGTAAAATTAATAACATGTCTAATAAGGAACGGATCTGTAGTTTTTCTGTAGGTAGTATTTTACTGAAGCCTAATCTATACTATAACATTAAATATGATAGAATAATAGGTTTACATGATATTGATGGTGTTCAGAATATTTTTTTGGCTAAATATGCTGTTCTCCTCATGGTACATGGGATTTTAGAGAACTGGCAGCAACCTGTAGCCTATGCATTTATTTCTGAATATGACCATTCTCCAGAAATCTCAATATGGATAGATGAAGTCCTAACTACTCTTATCAATATAGGTTTAGACATTCGAGCATTTGTATCTGATCCAAGATCTGAATTCCTTTATGCATCTGAAACTAGGTTTGTTTCACCAGAGAAATCATTTTTTACAATAAATGGAACGGATATATTTTATACATATGACACAACACAGCTACTGAAAATTGTAAAGAATAATTTGAAATCCTGTGATTTTTACTACGGTCCTAATTTAAAAATAAGCAATAATATTGAATTCTTTATAAAACTAAGTAATCTCTGTAATTTATTAAATTCTAAGCTGAGATCGTCTAACTGTCAGTATAAAAGAGCATTTTCAAACAAAAGATATCAGAAAAACTTTTTGAATCATATGTCACAGTTATTCAATAATTTGAAAGTAGTTCGCAAAATTGACGGCGTTGATGTTACTGATAACATGAAATTTATAGAGGGCTTCCAAATAACTATAAACTCAGTTTTAAAACTGTTCGAAGAGTTAAACTTCTTGGGTGTGAGATACCTACTTACAAGTCGTTTAAATCACAACCGTCTACATAGGTTCCTCGCTCATATCAAGCAAAGTAATTGTAAAATTGAATGTACTCCAAGACAATTCAACCGCAGTTTTGTTAGAAGTTTTGTTTACAATATGTTAAAGAAACCAATGAGTATTAATAACACAGAAAACACATTAGATTCTGAGGAATTTTCACAGCAGCTACTGGACGATGAGATTCAGGGAGTGGAGAATGTATGTAATCAGCCTTTGTTAGTTCATACAACAGATTACCGAGAGCTTTTGCCAGAGAAAAATGCATTTGTATATTTTTGTAAGTACTGTTATATGAAGTGCATAGAAGAGCACAAGTGTGACTCATTTCAGTTTTATTTGGATGAATCCCAGCAACAGAAAGAATGTGTCACACACCTTTGCAGTGTTAGTTTAGATCTTAACGTTCACAACTGTAAGATGACACCGCCGGATGATTTTACGGAGTTTTTGATGATTTTAGAAAATAAGTTCAAAGAGTATTTTACACCGGACGTTCAAATAAATAGTGTGGGTCAAGAAATATTGAAAAATTTAGAAGAGTATGGTTTCGGTATGCCCTGTCCATGTTTTCCGATCGATTACTTGAAAGCACTGTTTGTTAGAGTTAGATTGTTTTACACTATTAGAAGAAATAATAAATTTTTAAAGAATAGGAAAAGTGTGCGATCATTAAAGGTGTTTAGTTTATAAAATGTTGTGGCGAAAGTTTGAAAACTAAATGAAGGGCAATCTCACTGAATGCGGTCAGCGTCCGTTTAAGTAAGTACCTAGGTAGTCTTTTAGCTAGTAAAAGGTACAACTGCAGATTGCCATCAAACTAGAATGTAAAGTCGATAGTCTCTTAAATACATTACTAGAATTGTCGTTTTGTCTTGTCCCTAAGTATACATTTTAGATTATATCTTAGCCCAATCACGGGATCGTAACGGTAAGAACAAATCTTAAAATTTAGTTTGTATATCTGAATAGACAAATTATTAAGTCTATGCGTGAAGACAGACAGTGTATTCATCCGAAGTATGTAGTTATAAGGTTTTATAGCGTCAATTTTTCATGGTAATTTGTGTGCTGTTGTAAATAAGCCATAGATTTGAAGAAATAGTTGTAACCAATGAATAGTTATTAAATTAAAAATCCGAGGATTTACTCTCAATTTCTAATCATCGTATGAAGTCGCAAAAACTTTATATTTAGGATTTTTCGAAGATTTGATACTTGAAAATGGTTATATTTATAATAAGTACATCGAATGTATGATTAAAATTGTGAAGTTTTCCTATTGATAAGTACCAATGTCGACACTGCTTCACCAGCCGCCTCCATGTAAGAATTAAATTTTGAAATATATTCACTATCCTTCTTTTTTTTTTCAATGATTTATTACACGAACAAAAACTGTTTAATAGAAACAAACGGATATTATTTGTAATAAAATATGTAAAATGTCCAGTATTGCAGAAAGCGCATTAGTATTTACAGAAGAACGTTATGTGTACTCAAAATAAGTATGTAACATAAGTGTTAAATGCGTATGTGAACATTATACTATTTGCCCAATACCCATATGTTATTGATACTATGCAACATAAATAAAACAATGCTTTAAATATGTAATATTTTATTCATAATTATTATTACCTATTTTCACAGTTATTTATAAAGTTATATTAATATCAAGTATTACACTAATTTTGTTTTACGAATATCCAATGATTGCTCCATTTAGAAAATTTGATTTCCACATCAATCATCAGATTTGACCGCTTACAACTATTATATGACAAAATGGTGAGGTCTATGTACAGTACGATCCCAATTCCCTAAAAAAATTGACAAATTCACAATAACAAAAAGTCAAATAAAAACGAAATCCTTAAAATAATCCATTCGCTACGAATCTCACCTTACTAACAAACTGTACAAAATATTACGAGTGGTTTCTTTAAAATGTGCTCCATTATACATCGGCAATGTGGGCAAATAATTAACGGTATTCGATACTACATCGAGTATATGTACAAAATGTCGTTTTAAAAAACAAATAATAAACTATATACAACATCATTAAATATTCTCAAATGCTGTAACACATTTAAAACATTTCATATTCAACTAGGCATAATTCAGTTAAGTGGCGGGCGAGGCCGCATCTACAATTAAATAATTTATGTATACCGCGTGCGTACGCGCATTACATACAAAAAACCTGTACAAATTGCCTACCGTCCACTTGACAATACAAAAAAATAATTAGGTACTAAGCAACAAAAAATAATTTACAGTCAGATTTCTGATAATTTGTTCAATACGAAAAATTGATTTTAACTTTTTTTGATTTTTCCGAACTCAGTCCACAGAAATAAGATTAAAAATGGAATACATCAATAAAAAATGAGTAATACACGATCCAAACCATGCATCGGACATATTTACATATTTGTTTTCACAGCACACCTCTACACTTACATGTTAATAATATATTAAAATAGAAAATTTTCATTACAACACTAAACTGTCGGAGATTCGACGTATCAACACGCTCCTGTTGTTACATATGGGTTTTATTTTTGTTATAAAATGACATGCCTAATTATACAAATGCTACTTCCAACAGGATCAAGGGGTCACTGTTTACAATTATTATTTGCACTAAACTATTGGTGTTACATTACAAACCTGAGGTGTTTCTTATAACAAATGTGTTACTAACAAGAAAACTGCTGGTACTGTACTTGTAAAATATAAAATTTTGAATATCTTGAGTTCCTTTAGAATTTCAATGCAATGTATATCAAGCAATGCTGAGCTTTTGTTCCCTCATATCAAAACTGTACAGAATTACATATTTCGAATAGCGTACCAATGGTCAATTTGTCTAAATACATTTGTCCCTAGAAATAGCAATCTACGTGATTTAAATCTATCATTACAAAATAAACTTATTATATCAGTATATAAAAAGCCAAAATAATCGGTGAACAAGTTGACAATATTGTCATTATAATAAGTGAGATGGTTTGGTGGATGACTTCAGACATGTCAATAAAAATATCTAAAACACTATACATATCTAACTCCTTTGGTAATTCATACCGGTTCATTAAAATAACGAAAAATTACTAACAAGAAAATTACTACATTTATATTATTACATGTATATATATTGTAATTCTTTGTCATTAAACAAACAAATTGCTTTTATTGTAGCAGTATGAGGTTGTTAATTAAGATACTAATAAAAACACAGAGAGTAGTGAAATAAGTCCTATAAAAACTTAGCCACCTGCTTTATATCAGAGTGAAAATATCTACTGAGATCAAAATAAAAAATTGAAGAAGACTATTTATATAACAGAACAGCTAACTATACTCTAAAAATAGCTGTGATAAACAATCCTGATCTATTAATTTATATTTCGTGATTGCAGAAAATACACACCAAATGTTAACTGTGTTATTTAAAAATCTTAACTCTTCACTTAACATTAATATTGAAAGCATTATATCTTTACTAATTATTTATTACCAGCTACACTTTAATATAACGGAAGTTCATGCTGAGGTGTCAAAATATTAGAGACAAGAGAGAAAAGGGACATGATGAGCAATTCACTATCTACTTATGTATAATATTCTCATAATCCTTATTTATTTGAATTCAGCATCATGCTTCGACACACAATTTTATTTTCTAAATTTAAAATCTCATCTATAATGTTGATGCCTAATAGCATGGTCTAACTCATGACACTATACAAAATGAGGTTCACATTCAATTCTGGAATGAGAGATCAGGAAGTATATCGTACAGACAAGACTGTATGGAAGTGTCGTCTTTGCACAGGGAAATATTCGTGATATAAAAACAAATATTACATAATACCGAATGAATATGTATTACAAATTATATAAACACACTACGAAAAGAAAGTGGTTTATATTACCATAAAACTTTTAGATAAATATATATTTAAGAATTCTATGTGTGTATAAAATTTACGCTTTTTAACGTAAAATGAATTCTCACTGTGCTAATTAAATAATATATATGTAAACAACTGTTGATTTGAATTTGAACATGATTAATATGGCCATTAACATTAATTGATTAGTAAACTGCAATGAAAATGAAATGCCTCACTTTTAAAGCATGACAAGTTAATAAAAAATTGAAAAATCATTTTCTACACAAATTGGACCATATATTGTGAAACTCACGACCTAGCTCCCGGTTTATCTAGCTTTCTTTTTTTTTCATTTTTCTACTTTATTTATAACATTTTTGATATTTTGCATTATAAGTTCCTGAGGAGTAATGCTTACTATATTTTATTCACTTTGTTTAGTTACAAAATTCTTGTACATATAATAAACTCCATACACAATGAATGCTTGTGTTTTGAATTGTGTCTCTAATAGCTTCAAGCTAATGAGAGATATAAAGTGCCAAACAACTGTATCAATTCATGTATTCATGATTTCTCAGAGTAAAATCGGTACCCACTGGAATTGAGAAGCTACCCATTAATAAAAAAAGTGAATAAGATACCCTCCTATTTATAATCATCCCTATCATCATAGGTGATTTGCACCAACACTTGACAACAATAACATATCATAACGAGGCCCCGAACTTACACTCCCTATTTTAATTTATCTAAGTACTGTCATCAACTACTTGTCTACCCTACGCTGCCTTTTAATCATAACCTTACATTTACCTCAAGTGTCCCTTTGAGTAATACTATTATTAGTACAAAAATGGCCACCAGTGTTACAATTATATTGAAAAAACCTGTCGCAGGTATCTTTAATTCTCCTTAACATAAAGTACAATGTATGTCTAATAGTATTACTCTAAAATGCACTTGCACATTCCAAATCCCAACTTTAATAAATTATTCAAATAAATAATATATGGGTAGACATGTGTAATTACCGCGACATTGTGACATCTCTGGAAGCCTTTGAAAAATCGAACTTTAAAAACAAGTGTTATTTTCATTTATAACATTTTATACTAAAAGTTGGTCCGTTTCATGGCAATTCTCAGCCATCAGAATCCATAAAAGTTATGGTTTCCAACTGTTATTAATGAAAATCACACTTATTAACACACCATAAGTTTATATAATGCTTACTCTATAAAGTGTACCTGAAAATTTAGTGATGTAATCTTCTTGCAAGCAGGTGTGTCATCAGGTCACAAGCACGCAACACAAATAGATTATGATGTCCATAACTAAAACACTTCCATTAACACACTCCGTCATGACGTAGTAGACGCATTAAACAGTATCACATGTTTCACACCACAGTAAATAACTATCTGGCAGTTCGGCGAGTGACTAACCAATGAGCACAAGTCACAGGTGTGTTATCAGATCGATGGATTAGATTAATGCAGGTACGGTCGCTTAGCCAAGCGCAGCCGCTGTGTGGTACAGCTGCATCAGCACTTGGACATGCAGCGGGAGACAAGACAGACGATCGTGAGTGTTGCCGTCTAGTGCCAACCATGATAGCGCGTTGTAGCCTTCTAAGACATACCTGAAATTAATAGTGGCTTTTAGTAAATGGTATAACAGCCAACATTAGATAACCGGTTAAGGCTAATTTATAACAATAGCCTTGTACGAACAGTTGATTTCAGATAATGTTATGTTATGCAATTGACTTAGAAATGATTAATTTGATATGGATCATATACCTAAGCACATCAGTAGTGGTCTGCGAGTCCAAGGGGTGCGTGTTGTTGTCCCTGCGCTGCGTGAGGCTGGTGTAGTCGTCAGCGGCCTGAAGGCTGCCCGCGTGCAGATGCAGCGCGTTCTTGAGGAAGGCCGGGCACGCGTCGCGCAGGTGCGCGCAGCCCGCCCACCACCAGCCCGGCATGGAGCCCAGCGGCGCCGTCGACACCATGTAGCCCAGCGCCAGCGGCTGTTGCAGTAGTGCGCCTACTTGCTCCTGCAGTAGTGTCTCAATATTAGTTAACACGTTCTTGTCAGTTATTAGTTATGGAAGTGAAAATATACTTACAGTAGCATTTTCATCCTGATGGTGATATGAGGTTTGATGGTGATGGTGTGCCTGAGGGCTGGTGGCTGGATCGTCGTCGGTCCTTCGAGGGCTGCCCGCGGGCCCACCCCACATATTGTTGAACATGTCCCCTATGAGCAAGTCTGCCATATTGTCTTCTCCCATTTCTTCGTCGCCCATGTCTACGTTCAAGAACATCATGTCGCTATCCTCGCCGTTCGCCATCGGTGGTTCGAATGGGTTTTGGTTCGACTATAACAAATAATATATTTTTTTTTTAAATTTAAGTAAAAAAGACAACCGCATAAGGATATATTCCTGTGTCGCGCGGAAATTTACAAACATGCATAAAACGGACACAAAGAACACCCAGACTCTGAACAACAATTTGTGGATCACACAAAGTGTCGTCCCATGTGGGGTTTGAACCCACAACACTCGGCGTAGTAGAATGCGGCGTGGCGACCGCTTAAACCACTACGCCATCCGTGCAGTCAAGATGTTAGTTGTATCACATTAGTATGTTTGTTGAAAAAACAAATTAAATTATGTATCCCCAATTAAATAATATATGTTTGTTGAAGACAAAGATGTATATATTCTATGAATATTTTATCATCGTAATTTGTAGGACACAGAGTTATAATAATATTTTTGAATATTTTGATGAGTTGTTAGTTGAATCACTGTTGAAAATACAATGGTCTATACCTGAGTGGTGGCCGAAGTGGGGAAGACAAGTATGTGTGTGGCTGTGACGTCCCGGGGCGTGTGCAAGTGAGACTGTATGGAGGCCTGCGAGAAGCGCTCGTCGGGCGTGAACCGGTCGGCCATGAGGCGCAGGCACGAGTCGGGCTCGGTGGACACCAGGCAGGCCGACAGGATGCACGGCACCCCACCCGGGTACAGCACCGAGCAGCTGCCGCAGATATCGCGCAGCATGGCCGACGCGCGCACCAGGTGCTTGCGCGACAGCAACCAGCTCCAACCTTCCGAGACCAATTCATCATACGTGTAAAGAAACCCACCAATAGAAGTGACAAAGGTCGTTGTGATTCATTATTTTCAAAATATACCTTTAAGCTCTCCGTGCCCGATTCGTCCGACCCTTCCGACGACCAGCCTCCAAGGTTGGGCGGCCTGGCTCATGACACCGAGCGTGAAGTCCATTAGTTTCGTGAGACCCATTCGCCGCGCAGGACCGCTGCGTCGTCGACGAGACCTGTTTCAACGTTTTGTTAAGTGAATTAATTTTATTACAGTACCGTTTTAATTGACTGCATGCTTACTCTCTAATAAATAATACTCTAAATATGACAAAATTTTGAAATAGACTAATAACAAATGTGTAATAAATAAATAAATGTGAAACCGTTGCTTTCCTAAAAATTAGTATTAAATTAAAATACACGTACCTCTGCGGGACATGTATATTGATGGCAGCAGTGTCCAGCAGTTCTCCGCGGGCGTCGGTGGCGGTGGCCAGCAACCAGCGTTGGTCGTGAGAGAGACAGTACGACAAGAACAGCACTGCGCCCTGGTCACCGCCGCCTTGCCCCCAGGTCTCTGCCACTTCTTTCAGAGCACGCGGTGCAGCCAGCACCCACGCAGGTGAGAATAACTTGTATGGCTCGCGGTTTTTCTCCTAAAAATATACATTCCTTATTGGCTATTTCATACATTTTTAATATATGTGACGAGGTATGTAGAATACAAAAACAAGAAGTATTATTTCAATATATCGAAGCGAAAAATCTTTAGATGCCTGTTTTCGAGGTCTAGAGCCAAGTTATCGTTTGGTACTTACATCTTTGGATTGCAGGAAGAGATTAGCATCGGCGGCAGTACCGAAGCCGGTGAGTGACTTGCCGTTGGCGCTGTGAGACAGCAGCCGCCTGGCGCCACTGAACACGCTGAAGGCGAGCGCCCGCACGTCTTGCGAGCCGCCCTCCTCGCTCGCTCGCGTGCCTAAGCCCCATCGCTCACACACACTCTCCAGGGAAACAATCTGAAAAGTAAAGAAATGTTTTATTATAATGTTAAAAATCAAAGTATATTACATAAAATTCTTAATTAGATTTAGTTCTAACCTTAACAAGAGGATTATGATGGTGCAAGTGGTCGACGGTTCTAGCGGCCAGACGAAGCAACGCGTGTAACGCCAGCGGCCGATGACCATAGGATGCGGGGGGCTCCACGACATACACGACGAGAGCGGGTGCTCCACCCTCCTCTTCGTCCCACGACGTACCGGCCGCCGGGGGCGCGGAGGGCGTCCCTCCCGTTGAAGCGTTGGAAGTTTCGTTCTCCGGTTCAGAAGCCGGTGTGGGCGTAGCTGGGTGGTCAGGGGTCGACGGAGGTCGCATGTGCTCGCTCGGTCGGTCTGTATCGAGTAACGTGCGATCTAAGGTCAACGACGACAGCTGCGGCACGATTGAAGTGCGAAGAGTATGAGCGTACGATCTAAGGTAGTCGCCTAAACGACCAGGTGGTAAAGGTCCAGTCCATTCGTCTCGCTGTTCTCGTTGATTGTCTCGGCGGTCCACTGGCGTGCTGCGGACGATACCGTCTTTAGCGATACGTCCTACAGGTTGATGCCTACCGAGTCGACAAGACTCATAAGCCGTTGACAGTTCTCGGAAGAAGGCGCGCAGTGGATCCGCCAGTGCATCCTGGTCCGCCGCTAATACAACGTAGGCGACGTCACGGGAGTAAGAGTAGGGTTCCAGGGAGAGTCTTTCCCAGTGTCGTAAGGCGTAAGGTGAGAGCGATATCCAGTCTCGGTCGTGTCCTACGAGTAAGGGTGGGACAGGTTGCGGTTCGCAAAGATCTTCGTTGCCTCGTCCGGCTAATCGGTGGAATTGACGCCAAGTTAGCGGCCCGGTTACACCGTCCCACATTCGCGCACCACAACAACGTTTTTGTATAGCATCTTGGAGCAGCGGTCGGAGGCGACGCATTAATCTGTGGAGACGAAATGATACTCTTAGAAGAAAACAATATTAAATGTGTTTTTGAATAACTTTTATGTGTAACCGTTTTAAGGTTACAATAGATTTTCTTAGGGTTAGAATTACTGAGTGAGTGGTATATTATTACCTGACTACGTCACGTGACGAACGAGGTGCGCGTGCGCCGATGAAGGGCCAGCGGTGGACAGCGTTGTTGGCGGAGTTCACGTTAGCGGGACTCGAACTCGACGTTGAGCTTATCGAGGCACGTAACGCCCGCGTCGTTGCCGTCCCACCGTCGGTGTATCTGCAAAACAAATGATCAGACTTAACACAAAGTAAAATTGAAATATTTATATAGTTTTTCTTCTTTCTTCTTTAATAAAATACAACGCCCGTATTAGGAATATATACTATTTTACAAACATATATGAAACAGACATAAAGAACACTCAGACACAGAATAACAATTGTGGATTACACAAAGTGGTGCCCTATGTGGGGAAGGAACCTACAACACTCAGGGCAGCAGGAAACGGTGTAGTGACTACTTAAACCACTACGCCATTCGTGTAGTTAAGTAGTGCTTAATAAAATTAAAAAAAAATGCTATTATGATATTATAACAAACGAAATAACTAAAAATGGTTATTTTGTTGCGTTGTATGTCGTGGAAGTAGGTGCGAGGGGTATACCAGCTAAATCCCTCTATAACCTGCTTAAAGACCTGGGATTGCCAGGAGCTTCAATAAGTTTTTTTCTTTAACGAATATCTAAATCGGCATTTGTAGGTTCTTATCAATGGTTATGTAAAGGGGGTAATACAGCAGACGGTCGAGGTGAGCGCTGACGCGTCGCAAGGAGTACTCCCTAAACCTATTTTTGGGTCGCAATTCTCAGGCGTGTAAACGCTAAGAAATAGGTCTAACGTTTCTTATTTACATAAAATTCATTATTTCGATATGCATATTACTCAATAAGATCGGGGAACCAAGAAATCAGTTTTATAAAGATAAAAGAGTTCAAGTCGGTGACTCACAGTTACCGTGCGAACGTATAGAAATGAGTGATGGGTCCATGTATGGCTAAGAAAGCTATAGACAAGGAACAGTAGGTGGGGGGTACTCACTCGAGCAGGTTGAGGCGCAGCTCGTCGGGCGGGTGGTGCGCGGCGGCGCGGGCGGCGGCGCGGGCGAGCGCGGAGGCGTCGCCGCCGCCCAGCGCGGCGCACTGCGCCAGCACGACGGTGGCCACCTCGCCCAGCGCCCCGCCCGCACCGCCCGCCCCGCCGCCCGGCTCCTCCGCCAGACCCGTGATCTCCATCTCGTCCTGACACACACGCGTTATTACGTTTACAGACGAATAGACAGATTCCTCGATTCGGTTGCGTTTTATATTTGTTCAATTGATGGATAATGAATAGCCTTTTAATGACGATTCATCATGATGCATACTCATTGACACTTACTTAAAGGTAATTAAAAATAAAATTGTAATAATATCTAATAACTTGAAACATCACTATAGCCAGGTAGAGCCTGGAACTAGGTAGAGCCTGCTAACAAAACTTCTGATAAACACACTTGTATATACACGGTGATTTTTTAGGCGTTTTGGAAACGAAACATTTTAATTTGGAATCATCTATAGTACCAATAAAAATGATTAAATCAATTGTAATGTTGTCTAAAAAAAAGTTTCAGTTTTAATATTCATTTTTACTCGATCGACTTGGAAAGTAGTAATGGACTGATCATTCATTCATTATCTTATATGAATGAAACACGTCCGTGGGCGTTTCGGCGGCCGCTGCGCACCGCTAAAGCTAACAGCAGCTGATAAAAGTATACCTATAGGCGCGAGCTAGCGAGTACTTACGTAGATAGACTCCAATTTGTCCTTCATACTTTACACAGGCTTAGGATCGTCGGAAATACCTCTTTTATTTAAACTTCTTTTCGATTATTAACCACGATTGTTCTTTTCACAACAAATCAATTTATCAACGGACTGTAGGTATAAATATTTCAAGCGTATTTAAAAAATCGGAGCTTTCTACAGAATAATTAACTTACATACCTATTTACACTATTTACACTTCTCTGTATCGAAGCAACTGCTCAAAATGGAGTCCGCTGCATTCAATACACAAACGTCCACGTTTAATGCAATTGTTTTTTAATTTTCTTAATGTGTCTCTATCACTTTTCACTTAATCAAAAGCGTCCACTATCGCAATGCGTAAATTATCACGGTTTTCATATTCCCGTGTATAAACAAGTATTTTTATTTCCGACCATAAGAAAACTCCCTAAAGAACACTGGCCCTCCTCGACCTATCCACCGATCACTAAACTCATTGTCCAGGTATGCACGCACTACACTCCGGCGAATAATAATTTAAACGTCCTTGACCTTGCGCGTGAGCGCGCGACCTTTATGTGACTCGATATTAAAACGCATAGTATTTCTATTCGTAGTATTTACCTACTTGCGATTGAAAAGCCCTACTACTGGTTTCTTCTTTTCTCTGTAATCGATATGAATATCGACTTTGATGATAAAAAATATATATATTTTATTAAATTAACGTTATATATGGCTTCTGTAACTGATAAATAACTCAAAATTTTCTTTTCCAAAACGCTTCCAAAATCACCGTGTATATTTTTTAAAGACTAGGAATAGATCCTGTCCGGGCGGACTGTACAAACATACATGAAACGGACACAAAAAAACACCCAGACTCAGAACAACAATTTGTGGATCACACAAAGTGTCGTCCCATGTGAAGATCGAACCCACAACACAGCATAGTAGTAAACAGTGTGGCGACCGCTTAAACCACTACGCCATCCGTAAACATCCTCCGCCATCCATAAGCACTTTCTAGACTTCAACTAATAAACAGTGAAATTAATATAAAAGTAGTTCGAATATGTAATATAAATAAATAACATCTATTCCTCTCTAGGAAACTCGAAAAAAAGTTACCTCGTAAAATAAACCAGCTTTGTGCGCCAGACGCCTGTTGAGTATAGCGCTGAAGCCGCAGGTGCAGTGCGAGGGCTCGTCGTCGGGCGGAGGTCCGTGGGGCGAGTCCCAGGCCGCGCCTGACTGAGACCCGCCGCCCATGCCCGAGCATCCCGTCAGGTACGTGGCCGCGTCTGCGCCGCGAATGTTACCAACCACCTATAAAAATATTATTTTAAATATTATAAATATATGTTATGAAATTCTAAACATGTTTATGTTCAAAAGCTAGTAATTACTAATGATATATTTGTGTTAAGACAACTAACAAATAACTGTTTCAGTAAAGCTAAATAAATAAAAGTAAACACATATGTTATAGAGTATTTATCGTGTTAAAAGAAATATTTGTAAATATGACATATATTTTATGTCCCTGAATTTATTAAAGAAAAAGTAAACAAGTCGGATGCAGACAGTAAACTTAATGATTTTTTAGTATTAAAATTGTTGTTAAAAAGTAAAGTAAGAACTGTCACAAGTAGTTTGTAATTAAATTAATGAATAGGATAAAATGTTTGTATAAGAACAAGTAATCAAACTTTGTATTTATTAACAAAGCCATTACGCTACCGTCACATTAATACCAACAAATGAGGTGTATAAAATATATCCGAGAGACATTATATGAAGGTGGGCGTACCTTGGGTCCTGCGTTGCAGACGCAGAGCGTGCAGCTGTCGAAGTTGTGATCGCGGAACACGTTGAGCACGGTGTCGGCCAGCAGCACGTTGAGCATGAGCGGGCAGGCGGCGTGCGCGCTGGCCACGGCCGGCGCGGGCTCGGCGGCGCTGCGGCGAGGCCGCGCCACGACGTCGCTCCGCGCCGGCGCCGCCGCTGTTCCGCCTCCGCCTCCGCCTCCGCTCCCGCCGCCGGCCCCGCCCTCGCGCCGCCGCGCCTCCCTGCTCTCCACGGCCGGAGACGCGGAACGCTTAACGCCTGCTGATGCAGTCATTTCAATAATTATTTAAGCTATGTTAAAAATATTAAAACTACATGATATTGCTCTTTGAAATTAAATTTAATATAATCCGACATAAAATATGATAACGACATCATAACTCGAATCCTAGGGGATATCTACTGGGATATCCCTGTGTTAATAACGTATCAATCGCAGGAACATAAGATCAATCGATATTACTGTATTCTTTAATTTAATAACTTACTTGTTAATTATAGTAAAAAGAAAACAATAAAAAAAAATTATAACTCGGGATCTTACATGCTATACGGTCTGCAAGAATTTTAAATTAAAAAAAAACCGTTACCGGTTCGATGGGTGTCAGTTTCCGTTTCGGTCTCCCTCTTGACCTGATCGTGCTCGTGCTCGTGTTCCTGGTGATGTCGGGGGCGGTATACGGCGTGCGGTGGAAGAGTGACAGCAGGTAACATTTGACTCGGTAAAGTAGCCAGAGGGGCGTACTTGGATGAACCCACGTACTTGTACACGGTGGGCGGTTTGAACACGTATGACCAATCCTGTACGAATAAACGTTATAATATTTATTTGACTTTTATTTTTTTATTAGATATTATGAAACGGACATTAAACTATACATTTATGAATGTAACCTATATACGAGCGAGACAAAGTGAGTACCTCGATGGGCGTGTCGGGCGGCGGGCTGCCGGCGGGCGGCGCGTGGTGGTGGCGCAGCGGCGTGGCGTCGTCGGGCAGCGAGAAGCCGGGCGAGGCCTGCGCGTGCGCCTCCATGCTGGGCGGCGTGGGGAACATCTTGCTCAGCTCCTCGGCGCGCGGGCAGCCGCGCGCGCAGCGGGACTCCTCGCCCGACTTGTTCGAGTCGGGCGGCGTCGACACCTGCAGCTGGAAACGGGATAACGTAGCTTTATCACGAGTACATATTTCATCTTGCACTTTTACCGAAATTATATCAATGATGTTTTTAAATATACACATGAGCATGGCAGTCTTAAAAGAGCTATTTATATTAACAATGAAAGCACGCTGATAACTTAAAAAGATTGTTTTAGTCGTGCAATCAAATGACTCACTAAACTGTAATATTTGGCGGTTGTCATAGAAATATTCTTTGAAATTCTTTCAGATGACAGAAAGAGACAAGTACTTGAAACTAAAACATTTATTTTATTTTATTTATTACAGTATATTTTAATCAATTAAGATATTGACATTCACATAAATAAATTCAAATGTTTTCAATTTTTCAACTTTCACGACATTCTCGCTTATTGTTTTTACATATTATTCCATTAACGACAAAAGACAATCTGTGTCATATGCTCTATATTCATCTCGAGTTTTATAACTTAAACATGCAGTGTTTTAATAGACATACTTACAATTTTTTAAGTTATAATTAAAATAATATTAGTAATAAATATAAACAAAGGGTACACTCACAAGTCTTACCGTCTCATCGCCGCTGGCCGCGTCGTCGGAATTTTCGAAGATCTGTTCCAAGTCTTTGAAGGTAGGATATAATCCATCAGATGTAAATAGGTTCTTGTATTCTTTAGAATCCTCCTGATAACAGATTAACAGAGTTTTTGTAAAAATTACTTACGATTTAGTTTTGCTAGTCTATTTTTACTTAGTATTAGTTTTAACCAATGAACGTTAAAAAGTCGACACTGAAAACGTTTAATTTATATTCAGACATGTCTTGCGTTTGTTATTTACCTATTAAGAGAATCACATGTGAAGTTTATTCAACAATATTACAAAGATACTGAATTTATTGTGATCCGGATGAGTTGAAAAAACTATAATCCACACTATATGCAAATAAAGTTTTACCAATGTTTTCAATATTGTACTATTGTACTTGTATAGTGAGAGTTAATGTAATAGCTATAATGATGTTTTAGAACACTCACATTGTGGTCCTGCCTCTCCTGCTTGATGTCGAGCGGCGTGTGGTCGAGCATGGCGCCGAGCTTGGTGTGGTCGTGCCCCGCGTACAGGTCGCCGCCCGGGCCCGCGCCCAGCGCCATCTCCTCGCGGAAGCTGCTCTCATCGGACTTGAAGCGCTTCACTGGGTGCTCCAGCCTGCAGATCAAATATTATTTTGAGCAAGTCTAGATATTTAAGAAAATATAATTAGGCAACAAACTTTACCTGTAATTATTATTCAATAATCGAATTGTACAATAGTAACTAATACCTATAGAAAGTTTAAAGGTGGGTCCACACGATACAGACTTAGCATGGAGTTACTTTATACTTTTATTTTTTTACTTTTAGACTTTTATAGAATTTCGTCTGTGCAACATAGCAGTGCAGACAAATGTCGGTGTATTCAAAGTCGGAAGTATGCATAAAAGTTGAAAGTATGCACGTATGTCTGCGTATTATTTTGGAGTCATAAAATTAATAAGTTAATAATTATTAATTAATTAAAAAACATTTAATATAATAATAGAATACCCCAGGTAAAAACAAAGTAGTAATTTTGGTGGCTGGCAAAAATGTTCACAACATACAGATACATATATGTTATCAAATATAACAATTTTCACTCCCAATTTTTGAAAAGATGTACAACGTCAAAAATAAGAGTTGAAGGTAATGAAAAGTCAGAACAAACATGTTGTCGACATATGTGCGTGAACTTTTTACTCAGACTTTTCAATCTGTACAAATGTCTGTACGACAATAGTTTGTACCAAGTGTGTGGCGTGGCTCTTGAACAGCGAAACTGGTTGTATCTTGCCGATGCAAGGTAAAGTATAGACGATTAGTGTACTGGGTACTCGGTGCTATACAGTTACATAATACAATTTAAACTATGCCCTACATTGTGCTGGATATCTTTGTTAAATTAACTTGGGAATTTTACTGTAATTCATTACATTAATAAAAATGTCACCGAGTATTGAACACTATAGTCAAAAGTTGTAATGATATCGATGCGCATATCGGCTGTCAATGTGGCGAGTTTAAAGATTCACATAGGACCGTACTTGTGTCTATGTGACCGTGTACTCGCATTTAAACTTTGAGAATATTAACTTTATTAATTAAATGCTTTCAATTCACGCAAATTATAGATACGTTTTTATGTATTTTTAATCTCAACCTAAAAGCCTGTTTTTTTTTCCAACACAGAATGCCCTTAAGCTAAGACTCTATGACTAGCTAGCTAGCTATGACTCTTAAGCTTAACTACGGAAACACCACTTGATTACATCAGACATAGAAAGAAGAAATTAAATTGTTTTATCCTGGCGTCTACCCTGTTGAATTTCAATGACTTTTTTCTTTTAAAAAGACAACTCTCATACTAGGAATATATCTCAAAGAACACCCAGAAAACTCGGAACAACAATTTGTGGATCACACAGTGTCGGGATCACACAAAATACTGTCCCGTGTGGAGATCGTATAAGGTACGGTACGTACCAAGCGTAGACGGTGGTGTAGTCGTAGAGCATGTGGAGCGAGTGCTCGTCCTCGAGCGGGTCCAGGCGCGGCGCGGCGGCGGGCAGCACGGGCCGCCGCGACACCTCGCACGCACCCAGCGGGGAGTCGCCCTGTAACGTACCACACACCCTTTCTTATTTATACAACACGACGAGTCTCTTAATGAGTAACAATATACTATATAATTCAAACATCTTACACAGGGCAGTCTGATCCCAAACTAGGCAGAGCTAGATACTATGGATAACCAGACTGCTGATAAACATACTTATATATTTTCAAATACATACATATTAAGACTCGGAACAGAGGACTGAATTTCGTGAACGGGACGGAATTGTGTAACAGGAAACTGAGAAAGTTTGAACTTTAAACGAACCACCGAACAAGAACATCATAATCAAAAAACATAATGAGTGATACAGAAATGTGTGTCGGGTTAAATCAATTACCTGGGTGTACGTCTTAGGCGGCGGCAGCGAGGGCGGCGCGGGGGTGGGGGGAGCGTGCGGGTCCGGCGTGGGCGCCGGCGTGTGGAGCGTCGTCGGGACTATACCCACCGACTGCACCCGGAATTACAATCATTCTCTCATTAAATTTGATTAAATGCACATTAAATCATCAATATCCTGTAATTACATTTCAAAACTGCATCAGTATTTTATCATCAGTCCCTTTAAAAGGGTGTATCCCTTTTAAATGTATACAAAAAAATCTAAAATTACAAACTCATTTGTTACCTATCATTACAAAATAATAAGATTCAGAAGTAAATGTAAATGGTAATCAATGATTAACAAATCAAATTAAAAACGAAATGGTTTAAGGCATGGTTTTATAAAGTACGTGATTATATATTTTTTGTTAATATTTCGAATTTTTCTTGATCTAAATATAGGTTTTGTTTTTACATGCCTAAAGAGAATAAATATTTTAATTAATACCCTATGTATACATTTAGTTCACAGTAAAATAATCTTGTTAAACATTAGTTACATCGTCTGATTTAATATTGTGTCATTGTGTGGTAGAAACATCCAAAAATATTGCTAATTATATTTGGCAAATAAATTGTAGGTTGTTCTGTTGGTCCCGTACCTGGTGGTTGGAGGGCTGCGCGTGGTGCGGCGAGGAGGGCGGCGCGCCGGCGGAGGGGGGCGCGGAGCCGCCCGGCGCGGGCGAGCCGCCGCCGCAGCTGCCCGGCGAGCACGCGCCTCCGCCCGCTCTGACGGACAAACTCGTCGTTACTCACAAACCCGATAGCGCCTTAGCCCAACGGTCATGATATATGGTATCATATTATCTATAATTTCCCCTTCGTATGTAATAATGGGTTATTTTACTCTACGAGAACAAATCTAAAAATATATTATTGAGATAGAGTAAACAAAAAGAAGTCGGTGAGTGTCAGTTTCAGTTCATAAAATACCATTATAAATTTTAAAATTCCAATTTTTCAGTTTTTTGCTATATTTTTTAACACCCAAATAATAACCGCCATGTTATTACGTCATAATATGGCTGTGTAAACAAAAAACACGTGAAAACGTGTGAACTGTCAACTGATCGCATTTGTTTACACAGCCAACTGACACTTTGACACTGACAACGTTTTCATTAAATGAAATGCATTTTAATTGCACTTATCGAGTGACCTAAAAAATTGCGTTTCTTTTATTAGTTTATTAGCACTATAATTTAGAAACTTTAAAAATGAGCCCCAATACCTTAAGTGCCTAATTTTAACCCCATATTATATTGTCCGTATTTAAACTAAAAAAAAAAAGATATTAACACTTTTAGATTCATTTCTAAATGTTTCAGTAAAAATAAAAACTTTATAAACAAGTAAATGAAACCATATATCATAACCGTTGAACTATTCACATCACAAGACAAATGAATGAAATCCCCATATGAATGACTGTTCCCGTGGACTAACCATGAAAAACGATCGAGTTAGACCCTCAAATGAAAGGTAGATGTTATTATGTGTAAACATAACATACTGCTCACCTATATGATACATGAACACCACTTGTAAAATATTAAGCTTCGTTGAATCATCCTGTATGATGCTATTTAACACCGAACAAAAAACTTAAAATATAATCGAAACTTAATGTTTTAAAATGTAAATTAAAACAGTTATAAAATGTTATTTTTAATGAGAGTTACTGAAATAAATTGTTACAAGCGGTGACATTGTGTTGCGTTGTGAAGGAACTATGTATTGATGTTACAGTTGTACAATGATTTAGGACGAGAATGTCGAACAAAACAAATCGTGATATAGTCCCTTCCGTATTTCTTATTGTAATAACAATTGACAACATTATTACATTTAACTTTATTTTTAAAACACTAGTTCAAAATGGCTTTCGATAGTAGACAGTGTTCACAGTCAATTTATAGACATGACACAGTATAATGAATACCTTTGCGCTCAGTTTTAGTGTCTATTTCTAGTTCCATAATTCTGTTCTATTTCTATAATAATGTTGTCAAATGTAAAAATATAATTAACCGACTTCAAAAAAAGAGAAGAGTTACATAATATAGAATTTTTTTTTTTAAACTGAATTGGTTGTCACCCATTTAAATTTCAATAAATTATTTCACCTTTAAGATATGAAGAAAACTGCTCATTACAAACACGTTGAAGTCGGTGATATTTTTAATAAAATCTAAATATTAGACACAAATATGAATAAACATATATGACAAGACACAAAACATGCAATCTTATGACAAGCTCAACTTTTCTATAATATATTCATGCAATTAGCTACAATATTATAATATAAATAATAAAAGGCATTAATAACATGCGTAATTCAAGCGGCATTGCATTATTTGTGGCTCGATGTCCCGTGTGAAGTGTGGTGTGAAGTGTGTCACATTAGTTGAGGGATTATGTCGGTGAAGCGAATAACTTTCTATGACATTAAGTTTTATGTATTTTTTCTCTGTTACATCCCTAATTAAATGGGTAAACAAAAAAGACACAAAATAAAAATTTCATAGTGTTTCGCTCACTCGTGTTGCGAACTTCGAAAACTGTTTTTTGAAGCTAAAGCTATAGATTAATTTCCTAGAATGATGAAGTCAGTACCAGGAGTCTGTCAGGTGCGTGTGCGGTGTGGGTGTGGTGCGGGTGTGCGGTACTCACAGGCGCGGTCCCGGGTGGGGCCTGGCGAGGAGCGCGGGGTGTGGCGCGGGAGTGCGCGAGGCGCGCGGCGCGCGGCGGTGGAAGGGCGGCGGGCGAGGGGCGCGGCGCCGCCGCCACCTGCACCACGCACAAACCTCACGATAGCCACACGCCACCGCCACAGCCCCCCAGCCAACACGACATCTCTCTAACATTTCTAACCCGACCTTCTAATATTTCCTTTTTTTCCTTTGCCCAAAGTGACTTCCGATAAGCATTTTTACGAAAGTTACTAAAAATGATTTAGTTTAGATTGTTCCAGTATAATTATTTTCAGCAAAATTTGATATTTCACAAAGAATCTTAAATTTAGTGTTTTGATAATAGTAACATTTCTATACCCGATTCTACAACAGTTTATTCAATTAAATTTTATAAACGCGAAAGTTTGTGAGGACGGACGTATGATTGTTTGTTACCCAACAACGCCCGAAGGGCACCTAGGCTACTTTTTATTACGGAAGAATGATTGCGCGAGCAAAGCCGCGGGTGTAAGCTAGTCAGAATATAAATTACGCTTCATGTAAAAGTAAAAGAGTATTCTTGGCAAAATGAAAAGGAAAAACCGCTTTTTTAGAGATATCAGTGTGACAAGACTCGCCGCGTGTCATGACAAAGGAATTCAAACAAAAACGATCCTACTGCCATCATTTTAGCGCTTGAATTCCTTCGTCATAAGTACCAGTATATCATATTTATAAACATGATTACTAGTTGAAGCTGTACCCTCTACTGCTTATATATCTACTTATCATTATATTATTGCTATATAAAAAAATAAAACATTCACATACATAACATCTACCTATCAATCTACACCCTGTTAAATGGTTTGCTATAGAGTTTACTACACATAATAACTTTATTCACCGCTGTATTGATTCTTATTGTGTAACAAATAAGTTTCAATATTCGCGATGAATTTATAATTCTCATTCAAATGCAAAGATATAGAAAAACCAGTAAAAATAATACTCTCATACATATCATACTTATTAAAATATAGATGCATAACACACAATTTGATACAACTACCGCTACATACTGCTCCTATCTACTTTAATATTATTATTATAACGTTTGCAAAATATATGCGTAACATTAACGTAACAACTATTACATCACAAAAGAAATTAGTCCAAAATGTAACAGTTGTTTCTCACGCATATACATCACAAACACGCAACAATACGTATATATACGTATACGTTCACGAGATATAACAGCACTACAAAATATACGGCACATTGTTTTAATACTCACTTTGCACAGGTACATGGGGTCTTTCGGGTGGGATCAATGAAGTCTTCGCTCTTTTCAGCCGTCTCGCCGTAACAGATCTCGGCAGCCTGAAATTTACGTTGTATTAGTTACAATACACGTAATGGATTCGAAACGTTATCAATCATTGGCAATCTGTGGAATTGATATCGTGAATGGGGACGATAAAGTGCAAAAAAAATCACAAAAAATCTTTATTTCATAAAAAAAAAGTTTAAAATCGTCTTTTCTGTACTCTAAAGTCATAGATCAACACACACAATCTCTGTTTTGTCAAATATTTAGCAAAATAAATATTTGAAAAAATTATACCTATCGAAAATCTTTTATATGCCTAGCCGATCTACAATCGCCCGTTTCCAAGGCGCTGAGCCTTATGAGAAGAAAGGGCAAACAAATAAGTGCAATGGATTGTATATAAAATAAGTGGATTATTTTGTAGTTATTTTTAAAATGTATGTGTAGTGAATATGTAACTCAATTCAATTCGTTTATTGCACTCCATAATGTATACACAGGTCTTAGAAAAGTAGAAAGAAACAATTATGAACCCTGTCGGGCACGGCAAACTTCGGAGAAAAGCAAACATTTTATCATCCAATAAGCATATTGAAATGTATTTTAATCAATAGAGCTTAGTAGGTACTTATTTCATTGCTCACGTATTAATTAAATTTAGTAAATATTATATTGGTGCTAATTCTGTTGTTCGAAAACTCTCTAAACTAAACTAAAAATCCCTAAAAAAAATTTTAGTCCTGCCAAATTCTGCGTTTTCAGAATAGGAAACGTTATTTGACAGGACGAAACAATTTTTTAGTGATTTTTAGTTTGGTTAGTTTTCGAGAGCAGAATTAGCACCATTGTAGTACATTATTATTATTACATATTAATTAGTTTATAAGTGTACAATTTGTTGTAAGTGGTGGATATGTAACCTACAAATATTTAGACCAATTTACTATTTAAAGAATGTTATAAAGTAACAGTATTATTGTTAGAAAAATAATCACATTGTCATTTCAGACTCAAAAAAGACAACGTTAAAGTTGAAATTTGTCTGTATTAATATTGGAAGCATTAACTCGGACTCAATCTTATTGGATTTAAGATAAGTCTGTTTCCAACTTCCATAAAGATATGTAAATATAAAGTAAACAATGTGTGTCATAGATTTATTAAAGGTACAACTTCTTGAGCGCCTTTGTCTCATGTATGCTTGACAACCGAAAATCAAAAAAAAAAAAAACAAAATTCTCCAGGTTTGACATATTTATGTGACAATGGCTTTTAACAGTTTAACTTTTAATGTAATTATAGCATAGTTCATTCGTCGAAAATAGTGACGCATGGATCGAGCTCGCACCCTGACCAATCAGGTTCCAAGCTTTCGTACGAAACCGAACCTGATTGGTTAGGGGGCGGGGCTTAGTCGATGCGTCACTGTTTTCTTAATGCGAATGGACTACAATCATTTGTTAAGCCACTTTTTGTACCTCCAAGACTTTGTAAAACTCACACTCGTAAATTATTCTTATACCGTTCCAGTAACAATTACAACAGAGACTTCACAGATAGAGATCTTTTGGATAACTCAGTCAATAGTTTAAATTTAAAACGTAGATTCAATATTACTTGATATCTCATATATTATATATTACTAGCTGACCCGGCAAACGTTGTTTTGCCATATACATTATTTAAAAAAAAAATGTAAAAAAAAAGAAAAAAATTGGTGTATGAAAAATATATGTTGGCCGATTCTTAGACCTACTCGATATGCACACAAAAATTACCGTTTCGGAGGAGTGAACCACGCACCGTGACAAGAGAATTTTATATATTAGATTTATACAATTTCTATACTTGTTAAAGTCAACAAAATTGATACAACCTAAACTGCTATGTATCCTTTCTCTTTTCATTAAGTAAATCTTGTTATACAAATTAAAGAGTTAAAATTTTATTGTTACTGAAATCATCTGTTCGGCATTATAGGGTTATTTAATAATTATTTAATTAAATTATGGAGCCACATATAAATATGTGGCTCCATAATTTAATCTTTGGCCACATATAATAAGTAATATAATTGTTTGTTGCAAAAAATGTGATTACGTTTATCAGAGTTTGAACCATATAACAATGGTGAGTAAACTAAGTTTTGTTTGAAGCTTGGTGAGCGGCGATAGCCACAAATAGTTGAGGTGAAGGTACCTGGTGCGGCGCGGGCGTGGTGAGTGCGGTGAGCGCGCGGTGCGCCATGGGCGGGCGGTGCTGCACGGCGCCGCCCGCCTCCATCTGCGTCACCAGCACGTACGGCACCGGGTAGCGCATGCGAGCGCCGCCACACACCACCTGACGGAAGCAGTTTCTATCATTATTATTGTGTCATGATTACAGATAGTGACGATGTATTATACTCAACGTCTGTGCTGATGGCAGCTATATATGAGCTTTACAGTTTACCACAGACATATTTCCTTTTATGTATATTGTCATTGTATCCAATTTGACGAGATTATCTCTCTCATACGAATAGAATACATCAAAGTGATTTTGTATTCCGATTCTATTAGATGGCAGCCCTAATGGCGACATAACAAGCGACAATACCGAAAAAGAGTTAAGACTTTTTCAATATGTTAAATTGTACAATAAATTACCTCGACAGCGCCACAGCCCTGTTCCAGAGGATAGAGCTGTCGCCAGGCGTCCAGTAGACGGACGGTCGCGGCGTCATTGTCACACCATTCCCGACCCGTCAAGGTGCCCTCCAAACCGAATGGTGCTAGAATCACTACAAATAAAAGAAAAATATATATATATAAATGAATACGAAAGATAAAACATAATACACAATTTTTAATTTTTGTTTAAATGTTCGAAGGGGAACGAAGTTACGCCCTAGTGTCTTGACGAGCACAACACAGAGATCTTCGAATCAATATAGGAAGGGTTTAGCTGTGTTTTACCACGCTATATTTGATAACAATTCATTGGGAATTATTTCAAATATTCCTTCCCCAGTTGCATTGTACAGATATAATAATCATAAAAATAATGACACATCTCACACACGGCTCTCTAATCTTAAAGTAAGCAAAGCCTGTGCTATGTTAACCAGACTGTTGATGAATCCATACTAAGATACTTCGGAATAGATGTTATAGATAAATTTGGGTCTGAGTGAGACACAGAAGAAATGACCATGCTCATCACACAATTGTTGTGTGGGGTGGAAATCGAACCCATGACTGACTCCACAGTTAAAATCACTAACCACTAGATCAGCAGGCCTATCGATATGATTACCTTTGGCATCGGCCTGGTTGTCCGGCGAGTTGATTTTGGCAAGACGTTTCGGAGTAAGCGTGCGGACGGGCGGATGCTGCCGCACGTCCACAGAGGCACACACCGTGCTCTCGCCATGCAGGAAGAACGCGAACGAGAATGACAGGTGCCACGGGCTGAAATCAATACACACTCTAATGAGTTAACATTTACTGCTACAGTTATTCAGAAGCGAAAATATTTTATGTATAGTTTATCTACGAAAACAGTTATCGTTATCAGATAGATAAGTAAATTTCAAATAGAACATTTTTTTTAATCCTCTCACTGCCGTATGCTCCCAAAGTTCATGATGGGAAGACGGGACCCTACCCAAGGACTTTGGTACAGTCTAATAGACCAACACTTGGTATCCACTTAGTATCTCGTAGCTTTACAAGATGTAATCCGTCATTTGACTGTAATAAAGCGTAATGTTTCCATTAAATGTGTATGAATCACTGACGGTAATGAGAACAATATTCATAAATAAAAGGAGAATATTGAATACGTTAAAATTATACTTGTCTTGTATTTGTAAAAGGGACACGAAAGGTTTCTCAAATCTTACAAGAATTTTTTTAAATAATTAAGCTCAAAATTAATAAACGACTGTTTTGAAACTATTTCATAAAGTAGCTAAAACTAAAAAAAAACAACTTTTTTGTCCATTAGAACGCATACGTTACTCAAATGTCAGGTGTCGTATTTTGTAAGCTTCATATGTCGTGTTAATAGCCACTAAAACTACGCCTATTACATAAGCAAAGCCAACTGGGGCGTGTAAAACAGACCCATGAAAGAACAATATCGTGCACAAAAATGTTTGAAGAGTGAGTGGCCGAATGGCGCGTAATACAAGGCGGTAACGCCTGAGGACACCACTGTGTGAACGACATAACCTATTTACATATACGTAGCTATATACAGAGGCTGCAGCGAATCTCGCGTAGCTGGGAACTACGATCGATCCAACTGAAACTAGGATATGGAAAGGGTTCAGTTTTTATGTTTTCTGTTCACAAGCCTTCAAACGTTAAAACTTGTGAAATGCTTTAAATGATCTAGGTAAGTGAACATTGCTTATTTGGAATGAAAATAAGTTGGCATTTGACTTTTTACAGAACAATGTTTTTTATAAATCCATGTTTCTTCAAGTGCTACCAACAGGTATAAAATTATGAAGGTTGGTACACCTTCATAATTTTACCTTGAGTCTGACTAAACCGCATGACAAGTAGAGTCAAATGCGGGTATGCTGCCCTCGCGAAATATTTATTTATTTATTTATTAAAAACAATTACAGTGTCTTTACAGGATTTATCCCAAAACGATACTGTAAGTAAAAACAGTAAGTAACAGTTATTTATATATACAAATCATTTGCTGTAATACATCTCTAGGCGACTTCTTTGAAGTTCGGCAGGCTGCAGTTGTAGATATCTACTTGTATTGAAATAATATTAATAAGCCTTATGGCGCGTGATATAGGAGCATATCGAAGTAAATTTGGGTGCTTAATAATCTATAATATTATGGACGGGGTTAGTCCCCGTTTTTATTGTATAAATGTATGCTACTTAGAATAACGTGTGAACTCGGAGTGGGAAATCAAGTTTTATTTTAAAGCAAATCGTGGTCCCTACGTAAAATGCCAACTTGCCAAAGTCGTGGTTTACAAGAGAGCTTTTTACAGTTTCAAATTGTACTCGACATTTAGTTTGTAAAATGAGTATTATAATTGTAAAGTACATATTGCCAAGATGTCAATTTCTAAAATACCTCAAAAAGAGAATTTTTAACACCAAAGTCTTACATATAGTATAAATATACAGAAACTCATTATTCATAAATAAAAACAAAAAACTCAACTTTTGACATTACATACACAGGGACCTGTGAAATATGTTCGTTTTTATACCAGTAGAGGAGAACGTAAGATTGATAAGGATGGCATCAAGAGGCTGTTGTCTCTGATTCCTTTTCCTTCATTTCCCTGACAGGCAAAAAGACGTGTATGTCTTTGTAAATGTTCGAAGGGGAACGAAGTTACGCCCTGTTGTCTTGACGAGCACAACACAGAGATCTTCGAATCAATATAGGAAGTATTACGTGTTACCACGGCTCATTTGTACACAATCTACTGAAAATTGCTTCAAATTGCACTTCCGTATCTTAACAATCATTTCTTAATTTATGCACACACACATATTTAAATGTTAATCACAGTAAGCATAAATTTTTCAGAGGCGAGTATCAACTTCGTTCACAAGATATTTAATTTGGTACTCTATTCTATTTATAGTGGTGGTAGTAGGCATTTTATTTATCTGTGGTTTTTAGAGTTGACCTACTGAGGTAAGTTCGTGTCGTCGCCATTTTATTTCAGAATCTGCTTTTGCTGTCAGAAGTGAATTAAAACTCCAAGATATAGTACTTTCTAAGTTGTATCGCTCTTAAAAGAATGACACTACTAAAACAATGTAGGCACTTTAAAAAATACGAGTTTATAATGTTTCACAATTTTTTTGCTGTAAATGTCAGTTACATAATGGCCAATATTTGTTTTGATTGGAATTGTTATTTATACAAATTTTAAAACGTATAATTAACTAAATTATAATGTCAGCTATGCTAATAAGATTCTATTTAATTTATTCGTCATTTCAAAAATTAAAAATATTGGATTAGCAAGATTACAATTATAATTTGTCTTTTTATGTATCACTTGGGAAAACGACTCGTCTGATGTCAAGCAATTACTATTCGCGGTTAAACTTCTAAACGATTCCGTATACGTATTGCAGATCCCTTATTTTTTTTAAAACAGTTCTTTTGAAACCTATAAAAACTACCTCGGCACAAAGCTCAGCAGTGGGAGTAGGTATTCGCGTTAGGAAATTACTCCACAAACCAAACGATATCTTAATCGCCGGTCGAAAAATTACTTATTTGGTTGTTGAGCACAATTAAAATACTCAGTAAAAAGTAGGTCTTACATACCATACACCTCAATCATACAATTAAAATTTTCAACAGATACCGACATCTAGTAATTAGCTAACATGTAACGTTAGCAAGCGAAACACAAGCGTATCATATCGTATGTAACTTATACTTTCACTATCAGATGCAGCGGCACAGTGAAATTAATTCTTATTTCACAAACAATAGAGTTGATTATGCAATACCTTTTACCGACGTCTTCTTCGTCGCCGTCGTACGGCTGGACGAACCACTTGCCAAGCCTCACGAAATCCCGCGACAGGAGGCATCTGAAAGCGAAAAAATAATAATTAATTAATGCAAATATCCAAAGTGTTTAACATAAAATACATTCGGTTTTAAAACAAAAATACATAAGCACATGGTATATTCTCTTTTTTAGTAAAAAAAATTACCTTAAATAACTTAATCCATCAGACTTACAAATAGTAGTTTCGTACTTTCCGAATACTACAGACGCAAACGGAATGGGTTTACGTCTGCGTCTTTTAACACAAACGTGTAAATTAGCCGAGCTAACATGACAGAAATATAAGTCACGTGTGACCCATTTTAATCGCATTTTAAATCAATAATCTTGTTTAATTTATTAATAAATAAGCAAGCTTGATCCAAAGCGCTCAATGGGTTTACGAAAAAACCGCAGTTCAGAGAGTTGGAGAGCCCCGATTTCCAGCCAGGTATTGCTTCACGTATACGATCTTGAAGTTCTCGAGCTATTGCTTAGTAACCCCAATCCATTCGTATCAAGAAAAATCTTTTCCCTCCATTCTTGCTCCTTTATCTTTCATCAGACTTCACATTTTTATCCATTTTAACTACTTATGTGCTCCATAGATAGGCTTGCCTACTAGTTTAGATTGGACCACATTATAATGGTCTGTTCTCCCTTCTATCTACCTATTCGAGGATACAGTGGTACAAAAAATATCCTAAGTATGTATAGAACAGCCTATAATAGTCTACTGCTGGACATAGGCCTCTCCTTAGAAAGGAGGTTTTGGCCTACCATACCACGCTGCTTAGTCGGCTCTTACGACACCCACGAGATGAATATGGGTTTTGACATTCCGTATTCTTAATCCGTCACCACACGGATACTCACGGACACTACGGACTTCAGTCAGGTAGTTGTATGTGTTCTAAAAAACATTAAACAATAACTAATTGTATTATCTTGTCACGTATACTAAAATAACCATTTGGCTGAGCATAAAAACATCGAAGTTTCGTTTTGCAACACTCAAATCTTATGAGAGGCGTACTACAATAAGGTTACAATTTCACAGCTTGACTGCCACGAACATGAGATATTTAACGTTTCGCAAGTTTACGAGTGTATCCCGTTTCTTTTATTGGCATACCGACAATAAAATATGGCCAATACAATAACACGTGATTTGTATATGATGCTTTTTAATCGGTATCGAACTGAGAAGGTTAAATAACTTACATAACGCACTGCTTCTGGGTTGGTTGGGTATGTCTACACAACTTCTGTTGAAAAATCAGCACTCGACGCGGTAGGTCGAAAAGGTTATAATAAATTAGTATATCTAATCTAATCTATTAAATGAATGTTAAATTGTCTGTAAAGTGAGCACTTTGAAAAGTGGTCCCTGTGCAGGAGAAAACTTCACAGTGCAATAGTTTACCGAGGGACAGTTGAAACGTTTAATCTTAAGACTATTGTTAGGTAACCTTTGCACAATGTTCCTTTGAGGGTCTTAGCCTCTTACACATACATGAATATGAACTTGCTGGATACCCACGACAGATACTAAGAACCATAATCCCTTGTTCCGTATCTGAGTGTAATATTTCTACCATCTTTTATGTATTCAGTGACATTATGGATTGATATTTATCAGCAGCCTGTTACCATAATACATTCTCAGCCTAGTTTAGGATAAGACGGTCGTATTATATTTAGGGGGTGAAGCATCTTCTACCTGCGTTCAATAACAGGCCTTCTTTTAACATTATAGAATTATTACGTCGCCTGACAGTTACAGCAAAACAAAACTAATATAGTCTGTGATTACGAAGTGATTAGTTCAGTGTTTATGTTGTTATAGTAGAAAAATGTATCTGTGTAATATAAACACAGAAGTAAACAGAACAAAAATAAAAGCAGCTAGATACCATTCATAGCTAGAAACGACACTCCATGTAAGAAGTGTCATATAATTAGTAATTCAAGTATTACAACAATGTCAATTTAGTAACTATACTAGGTCTATTTTTGTTTCCTAATAACGTGTGACTGTGTGCTGATCACATTCCGTGATGATCTATTCAAGAGGTAAAAGCATAACAAACAAACACAAACCTACTATCGTATTTATAATATTAGTTAGGATTACAAAAGAACAAGAACTACCGGACTGTGTCCTGCGTCGAGCGTAATAAGTCTGCGCCCACCATTCCTACATGCATACTCGTATACTCATGTTTTAATGAGCGCTCTCTATTTCTTCATTTTTGGTAACGTGAAAGTACATTTCCCGTCGTGGTTTTCGAGTTGCTCTAGCTGTCTTACTCTTATTTTAATCTATGTATAAAAATGTTGAGTTGATTTGTGTACGCTTTAAAAACTCAAAAAGTTCTCCATCGATTGAACTCAAATTTTGATACGATCTACAACACGCGATGTTTGTAATCAATTTTTTGCAACTACAATGTGCCACAGTGAAGCTCGTTAGGGTAAGGCTAGTATGTTATATTTTATTTTTACGACTCTCCACTTACCTACCCGCCCACCCCTACGAAAGCCTACGTAATACTTCAATACGACCTATAACCTTTTCCAGTTTATACGGAGAAAATCGAAGCATAACCTATAAATGCAGTTTATTCTTTTGAATAAAACGTAGATTTTCTAGTAAACATAAGACCGTATAACAGACCAGTGCGTCATATCGTAATAGTTCAGATATCGATTATACTACCAAAGCTAATATTATTATGTCACCGTGCAGAACATAACGCACTCCGTACATGTGCAGTAGGAGGCGTGAACAATAATCACCCTTGTTCTTGAATTATTGTGGAATGTCAGATAATATAAAAATTACACGTACGTACAACATTGAAAATGAAAACATTCGATTTGTTAAAGGTTTTTGTTTGGTATAAACATTTGTTATTATCACGATTTATGTGTAATAGTCGTGTAAGTTTCGATCTTTAATTGTTGTTTATTTGAGTTAGTAGTAGCGCATAATAAAATACATACATCGTCATTATTATACGTTGTTATCTAAACAAAACATTATATATTATTATACAAGCAGGTATGAAGGAAAAGTCACGAGTGCTCGGCGAAGTTACATAAATAATACAAATTCTAATAAAAGAATGGAGTCTCCGAGAGTTTTTATTCTATAACACTTAGGTAATTGGAATAAGTCGATAAAGACAAGCATAAATGAAAGAGGAAGAACAATATTATTTTTAAAAAAACGGCGTGAGGGGTCCATACACCCTCGGTCGGTACAAAGTTCATTTCGCTTTTCGGTAGACGTTTGCTATACAGTCATTATAATTTATATTATAAAATATCAAGTTATAGAGTTAAATTTACGATAAAATATTATTATTATGTATAAAACAAATAATGATAAACACGGAATGATCTGAGATAATTAAGTTTAAGGGAGAGCTGTGTGCGGCGATGGATATGTACGATTATACTCATAGTTTATACACGGCTGTAACTATTGCAAGTGATGAGTATTTTTCGGTGTCGCGCCCTTCTGCTCAGAGGTGTCACGCGCGATGAGGAACTTTGTTCCAATATATATATTTTAAAATGAACAAATTTTTAATGATACCAAAAATAACGAAGTTATATAATGCAGTTTCCAACAAAAATTGTGATAATGTTTATCGAAAGAGGACACCATGAGGCAAATTGCGTAGTAGACCGGTACCGTAACGGGCGAATTAAGCTGCGTGCGCGCAGGTGTTCTATCATGGCTGCGAACGAGAAAAGCTGAAGGAATGTGAATGCGATCATTTAGAATGCATCTCAAGCAGAAACAGGTTTTACCGTGATACGACCTAGGCAGACTTCATTCTCTACACAATTCTGTCAGATTTAAAAGTGAAAAAAAAAACTACAATTATTATGGCCTAATTTTAGAGGTATATAATATTGTAACAGAGTGTTAACGTAATGTTAATACAAGATTGTAGAGTTAAGTAGTTCAACATAAAAGTTGACTATATGCATATGCGCGATCTTTAAACCAGTTTTGACGTAATCACAGCCACAGAAAACCTCTTTGAAGTAAACTAAAAACCTTAATTTAACAGAGATTTCCTGTGGTTTCATAATGTATGCATAAAGAATAATAAAAATTAATGCAATTAAATTATAATGTATAGTTACTAGTTGCCGCTTGTGGAATATCCAAGAAGACTAGAAGATGCCGTATAAACAATAAATAAATGGACTGGACTGTTTTGCATGTGCATATCTATAGTGGGAGAGCCATGTTACGACACAAATGGGCTGGCTCGACGGGAATGATACATAGGATACCACCGAGGCAGTGGCGCAGTGGTAGCGTACGCGACTGCTGCTAGCTGTGCTATGGTCTCGGGTTCGATTCGAACCAAATGTTTGAAAGATCTGCAAATATGTATTTCGGAGTTTGGGTGTTTTCTAATATGTATTTACAAAAAAAGGTATAGAAGTACTCTACCAGTCAATCTAGCTTTTATAGTACAAGCTTTTCTTAGTTTGAAACTAGATGGAATAGTGTGTCAGATGTCCGAAGTTTTATTATTAATGTACCACGGCCTCACAGAATACCAGTTTTAAGCAATTCTTTCGTTTCTTTTTACCATGTGAGTGAAGTTACGAAATGACATGATATTTATTTCTGCAAGTAAATCTTTTCAGATATTTTTACAAGTCGGACTTTACAGCTAGAAGGCGCTGGCATTTCCTAAGACTCACTCTAGGAAGAAAAAACGATAAACAATTTAAAGAGAACTATGTGAGTGCAGTATAGGGTCTGGGTACGGGAGGTCCAACCCGTAACACTGGAGGAGAGAGGCACGCACAATGGTCGGCACTGCATTTGTCTCTCTTCAGTTGTTGGTGTCTATAAACGGCGGTGGTCACTTAGTCAGGTGACGTGTCTGCTCTTTCTTTTATTAAATACAACGCCCGCACTAGGAATATATCCTATGTCGCGGAGGACTTTACAAAACACATTAAACGGACACAAAGAAGACACAGAAAGACAATTTGTGGATCACACAGTGTCGTCCCATGTAGGGATCGAACCCACAGCACACAGTGTAGTAGCGGTGTGGCGACTGCTTAAACCACTATACGCCATCCGTGCAGACATCTGTTTCCCCATATACCATTAAAAAAAAACCTCCAATATTTGAGAATCAATATTCTAATCAAGCGGCGTTATATTTTTATGTTAATTTAAAAAGCGAGTCAACGTCTTAAGTGTCTCAGTAACGCCGCCAGTTGTAAAATGAACATAAAAATCCTAACTCAATCGTAGCCAGTGACTTGACAAGCCTAACGCTAAACCTTTGGAGTTTTTATTACACATTTAAAACAGACGACACGCTACTTCTGGGATATCATTTCATTCGGTTTTATATTTATCGTTATATTGTTGGTCAACGTTTGGTTCTGTACAGTTTTTAGGAATATATTGGTAGTTATAGATTAAATTCCAAGTAAGACCGTTCTATAAAATATATTAATATTTGTGTAGTCATTTAATACACTAGCTGACAAGCGCAACTTCGTCTGCTTCTCTCAATAGTAATAAATTTTCTCCGTTTTTGAAACATTCTTCATTGGTGCTCCGCTCCTATTGGTCTTAGCGTGATGATATATAGCCTATAGCCTTCCTCGATAAATGGGCTATCTAACACTGAAAGAATTTTTCAAATCGGACCAGTAGTTCCTGAGATTAGCGCGTTCAAACAAACATACAAACTCTTCAGCTTTATAATATTAGTATAGATTAAATGTCGACATTAACAATAAGGTTGCTCTTTGGAATGGGGAAAATTATAACAGTTTTCTTATTTTTCTAAAAAAAAAACATCTGCCGCATTAGGAAGGACTCCTGAGTTGCAATCGTGTTTGTGAACATTTAAACATCAAACACAGAAAACACCCAGACTCGGGACATTCTTGTCTCGTGTTGGATGCGAACCCACAACACAGTGCAGTCAATCAATTGACGACCGGATGGCGTAGTGGTTTGTGTAACGGACTGCTATTCCAAAGGTCGCGGATGCGATTCCCGCTCAAGTCAAACATTTGTGTGCATGAAAATTTAATGTTTGATTTGGTCTGGGTGTTTTTATGTATAATAATAATAATAATAGTATTTACAAAAATAAAGTATATATGTATTTATATCAGTCATTGTCATTGTACAAGCCCTGCTTAGTTTGGGACTAGATGGCATTGTGTGAATGTGGTAGAATATTATTTTTATTAATCTTATTCCCTACATACTCTGTATCAGGTCTGATTGCTTGATAAATTAACAGGCTTCGCGTCTCGTGTGTGCATCTAAATCAGTGTGCGTGAGTGCGTATGTGTTTGTATAGTAATGTTGTCGCGGTGTCGGGATCGCATCCCCGGTTCACCGCGACGCATTGTTTCTTTGACGCGCCGCCAGCCGCCACCCGGGGTCAACGACTCGTCTGGATTTCGTTCTTACGCCGAGATGCCGCCGCTCACCGCTCCCGAGTCGCGTGATGCCGATGCATGCGCTACTTACATCATAGGTACGTGATGTTACATATAATGTGTATCACTTTTACAGTATTATCACTTGAGTATCAACCGACACACGTTTCAAACGAAGCCGAACACTAGGCAGTCTTTAAAAGCATCGAAAAGGACTTTAAAATGTAAACAAATTCAATAAAAAATAAATTGTTATTAACTATCAAATAGTCATCGCCAGACAACATTAAAAATACAATAAATTATTTGAAATTAATCGTGTCCGTCTGGATTAAGACCAGCCTTCTCAAAACAGAAAGCATTGCAAAAACTCAACATCTCGTTTTCAGAATTTTGTTCACAATTGGCCAATTACAACAAATTATTTGGCGTCATTTGATAGTTAATAGTTATGATTATGAGCTACCGGATTTTGGCTTTTAATATATTACCAAAACATTTACGTAGTCACAAGATATTCAAACATAATTATGCGGTAATCACAAAATAAGTGGTCAAATCTCACCGTTAAGTACTACACAGTGCCGACAAACGTTCATATATTCAATTAAAAGAACAAATAAGTTTTTAAATATTACTAGTAACAACTATGATCGAATTGAAAATTTACTTTAAAGGAAACTGTATTATGGCCACATTGAGAACAATTAGATAAGTGAATATATATATTAGCGCATTCTTAACGTATCGACAGCAGATACGACTTGAAATAATAATGACTAGGTATTCTGACCGCGCAACACTTAAATACAACTTTCGTAGCCATGTTTAAAATGACTGACCATCCTCGGGATGTTCGATCCGAGGTGGGAGGTACAAAAAACGACATTAGAACGTCCCTGTGCGATACGTCGACCTTCGTTGCCGACTGGCTACTCCACTCCGCTAGTAGGTACGATGCGCCCGCGCAGCTGCCAGGTGCAATGTTCGGCTCGCATTTTGCACTGTAGTAAATGACCACTAAATTAGCCGTCTCGCTACATTTGCAGTAATTAACTGTTTTATAATTTTACTACTGGTATTGTACTAGTTGTGATTTTATAGTTAATGCTAAAAGTTTGAAACCAAGTGTTATATTTTAATTGTATAACACAGCACTTTTTTAAAACCATTTAATTTATAGTATTGACTGTAGTTGATTCGTAGTAGCATTAGTTTTGAGAAGCCTTATTTTTCCTCAGTAGTCGATTACTTTATAATTACGTCCGAAATTAAAGGGAAATATAAAACATGACAATTACGGCCGTTACGCCAATAGAGTTGCATTTTTTCCGTTAGTTACAATCAGGAGATTGAAAACGATTACAACAAGTCGCAGAGAACAAAAACTAGTTTGTTACTCTTGACCTTAGATAACTTAGTATATATTTTTAGCTGTGTGTTACAATATTATTTATTATTAGGTTTTAGGTTGGGTATTAGGTTAGGCATTAAGTCTGCCGATGTACAAAATTGCTTAAAGTTTGAAATAAATAAATAATTATAAGAATAAATGTAAGTAATTCAAATATTGTATTGTGTTTTATTGATACGTGTTAATGTCATGTTGACATTCTGAAAAGAGAATGCACGAAATTCCCGAACACCACAGATGTATTCTCCTCTTCCTTAATTAATCTCGATGTTTACGTACCTACCTAGTTCAAGTTTATCTATCGTGGCGAGTGCTATTAAAGACATACGAATATTTTACAGGTACAAATTAAATATAAATGAGATTCTTTTTTTAAATTGGATTTTGAAACTAGAAACAATTTCGATAGGATTAAGTATAGTTCCTTACAGAATACCTATCGATTCCACGACAGAATACAAACCGCTTTGTCAATATAAGTAGAATACTTGCGCTAATCAAGTGAATAGGAATGATTTCATAATAAATCACTACCAATTAGCTTGCGAGACGCATAGAAACAAATTGCGAATGCCATGTTGACTGTATGAAATGCATGCATCATCGAGTTCAAATTACGTACTCAACCGATACAATTAAAAAGCTGCTGGTTTAATACACACTTAACTAATATCTGGTAATAAATAATACTTTCGTGATTGTAGATAATACCTAATTAGGAAGAGATTACTTGAGATTTTTTTAGTATTGTATGCAACGAATTAATCACTTAAGTATTTGTGTTTCAAGATTAGTTATTTTTTTGTTTTACCTTTCAATAAGATTATGAAGAGCCTTGAAGAGTAGGGAGCGACATTCGTACGAGAGTCCACTTTCCCACGAACCCTGGTCTCCTTCTGCAAAAAAAGAAAAAAGCTCTTAGTTATACGGTACTGTCTCAAGTAGGTATATAACATTGTAAAGGAATATCTCCAGCGAAGCATCACATTAGCCTTGACCTCATTTCAGTTGTATTTTAACCTTGCCATTAGCTCAGTTACTGCTATTTGTTTTCTAAAGTTTATACTTTTTTATAAAAAAAAAACATAAACAAGTAACTGAATCTTCAGATAATATTCTAATCAACTGGATACAGACAGACTCAAGGTCGATATGACAATGAAATTGTCTACAATAGCGGAACGTGGTGCTAAGAAACGATAAAATCGGGTTGTTGCAATGTGGTAAGTAAAGCCAGAAATAGCTGTTGTTGCATTCGCAATCGGAAGATAAACTCGGCCTATCACCGAAGTTAGATGCGAAAACAAAACGGCGCGCGCGACGTTGCCGTCCCGTACCCGTAGCGCTGTCCTTGTCTGATTGGGAGGCGGGGCGGGGGCGACCCATGTGACGTCAGACGATCGTTCGGCGCACGTGCTTGTGTTTGTAGCGCGCGCTGCACACTACACACATGCGAATGTTGCATACCGGCCGCTAACAAATTAATACGCTGACATTGAAATTTAAATCGGTAATATTATCAATGAACAGAATTTCATCTATCTATTCTGACTAATTTAGTACAAAACAGTAGTAAATAGGTACCAAGTGATTTTTACATTATTATAATGAGTGATAAATTCAAACGCTTTAATAACTCAGTAATCAAGATGAACAGAGTAAATAGTAAACACTTATAATTTTGATAGTAGTTTTCTTATTGGAGCATTTCCAAATCATAATCCTTGACATTCGTGTGATCCAGGTGTACGCGATCTAAACAGATGCATTCTTTTCACAATTTAAGTAGGTATTAGTATTTATATTTCCTTGTCAATTTACTTATCGTACGCTAAGTTTATCGGTACCGCTAACAATGAATAGGAGTGAAACGAATTTAGCCACTTTTATTTGTAAATAGAGATTCAATTTGTATATAAATTAACTAAGAAGTGGGTTTCAATTATAAATGAAAGCATTCCAATTACTTCCTTGATGAGATACTAGTTTCAGGTATATTATATCTATCCGTTTTACCTAAGACCATTGTATTGATGGTAGCGTTAGTATTATACTGGACAGTCACTGTAAGGTTGTTCTTTCATATACATTTATTCCAATATTAAACTTTATTAACATATAGCCTACATAAAGAACAACTTTAATAGTTGGGTTTTACATTAAAGGGTTAAAGCGGTTTCGGCCGTGTTAAGTGAAAGTTTGATTTTGTTTATTTTATGTGACAGTTCTTTGGCAATCTATGTTGACGTATTATTTTTTAAATTGCAGTAATTACATTTTACAAGATATTTAAACAACGTTCAGTGGCAGTCCATTACTATTTAGTAAAACCGATAATTAACTGCACTGAACGGATCTACACGCAGGCTAGGCGGTGCAATTACTGAGACGGACGGTTAGGCACCATCGACTCCACCTCCCAAGGCCGTTAACGTAACAAAACGGTAAGTTTACTGTACTATGTGAATACCGCAACGAGTCACGACTCTATTGGTACCATCACGATTCAGGTCCACCAAGGATTTAAGCATCGATCGACTGCGTTCTTGCACATTTCCCTGAAATTCGTATCGTATGAAATCATAGCAATAGTGGCTAAGATAATAAAACAGTTTCACAGCGACAATGTTATTTCGACATTGCACTAATTTGAATAAGTTTTGGCGTTATTTTGAAAGCGGTTACACCCTTCATTGGTAACAACATCGTAACGCAACGTTTAAAAGAATCGGTTGCATAATTAAATTACGATTAACTTAATAGCCGTGTAAAATGTTTTCATGCGCTTGTGAGGGAAAGCTTTAGGACATATTTGTTAACTAGTTATGTGTTAAGTTTATGAAATGGAAGGAAGGGGACGAGGGTACATTTAGAGTGCAACAATAAAGATAGTTTAAGGTTCAAGGTCGCATATTTTGTTGCGGTGTAGCAACAGTGGTTGGCACTAGCTTGCTCCGAGATCGATAGCAGGCAGACGACGCGCGCCGCCGCGCCGTTACCCGCCTCCACGCCAATGTGAACGCAGTAATCGCCATACGATTATCACTATTGTTGCCTAAGTACTGTTTGTTTGCTTCGTTGCGGTTAATGTCGCTGATAAGGCGATAACACACGACGAGACTAACATTGAATGCGAACTGATACGTGATCCACCTTGCGCTTTTACGTTTTTAGCGAGATGAAGGTTCGTCAATGCGGCAAAAATAAAGTTTAGGCGATGGATAAATCGAGAGTATTCAGTCAATAAATTTGGTAGTTAACGATTGGCTTGTAGACCTTGGAGCTGGAAGATTTATAGAGTACGGTTAAAGTGCAACAACATTATCTGAGACACGTGGGTAGGCCGCGAGTGTAGCGTCTCGCTCGCACCATCATTGTTTGGAACTATCTCTGTGTCGCGTCAGTGTGTTCCACTAAAAGGAAACTTTCGCAACCTTACCGGTTGCTTTAATTTTGCGCTACTGTTAACTCACCCAACCATTATTACATTCCTTTGAAGCCTTACGCAAAATTAAGAAGTCATTGCACTGAACAGAAGTAATAGATAAAAGAAACGATTGTTACAAAGCATATTCTTACAATAATTAAAGGCCTTGGTGAGTCGAGCGACCGAACATCCTTAGATAACATAGTGTACGGTTAGCCCGTAAGGCGCAAGCATCGTGTTCGTACATGTAAAACATCGAATAGGTATGTACTTCTATATTTATTTATTCTGTGTACAGTTTCATCAAGCAAATTGCTTGGTAGCTTTGATTACAACTTTGTGTCAATGATTGTAATGTCAATCTTAATTGGCAGTTGTTTGGCAAGGACTGTGTCTACCCAGAGAAAGATTTCATGCCTAAATAACCTTTTTTTGTAATTATTATACATTTATTGTAAGAGTCGTGTGATACATATGGCCTTATTTGTCGTTTGCGTTTATTAATATTTGTAGTAATTTTTTTGAAAATGGAACAATTAAATTATGGGTCCATCAGTTGAAGTGTTACAAAATGATGCTATAAGGGTTCTAATTAAAGTGTTAAAAAGAAAAAATAAGATTCAGAATATGCAGTCGCTGACCGAGAAAAATAGTAAACAATCAGTGTCAGCTATATACATAGATAGGCCGGGCGGTAGCGGTGCGACATGGCAACGTCGCGTTCAAATCCGCGCTCGTTTTGTTTACAACACACACCGGCCGGCCGAGGTTAACCATTGCGGTACGATTCGCGCCCTCTGCAGAGCGCCGGACATGGGAACTCATCAAACACCTATCTTTCTGGCAGGTTTCCAGACAAACGTAAAATCGATTGTAGAGTATCTATGAAAAAGGAGATGTAACTGCAATTGGAATATTATTAAAACCAGGTAGCAACCGGATCAAATATGCCGATACGGAGCTTTAGCGTAGTACGTTGCTGTCTGATACTGTAATTCAAGATCGTATCGAGCGCGTTGAAATCTGTCAATTCGCGCGCCCGTTGCTGCGGCGGGCGGTGGGTCGGGCCCCGTCCCTCCCGTGCAGTGCTTGTTGTTGTCTTTGTCGCGCACACCCACGTGCGCGCGTGACGTAATACGCGCGTCTCCCGCCCGACGTCATGGACCGCCCGTGATCCCTCACGATAAGGCAGAACTATCACCCCCTAGAGCCCATTTATAAATCGAAAAGATGCCTGATTTTTGTCTTTTTATTTTACAGAACAGTAAACATCACATACCCTAGTAAAATACTTATTCATACTGTTATGAGAACTCCTAATCGTTGAAAAGTGAAAAAAATCATCAGTAATGTATATTTTAAACATGCTTATTATGTAATTATTCCATAGATTAAGCACTGCCTTAATGAGGTGTGTGTGTTTGTGAGTGAGTGAGTGAGGTCTCGTTACGTAAAAGTGAGTTGGGCGGATCTATCGCCATCTGTATACGACCTCGAGACACGCAGCTGCACGGACTCACCCTTCCCTCTTTTGTTTATACTCGACAGCCGACATAACCCTTGAGAGCTACATTATGGCAAGACGGTCAACGATGCGAGACTGTAGCACGTCGTAGCAGAGCTTTTAAATTTGCTGGTTTGTTTTGGAGGATTTGGTGTTGTTTTTGGTATTCATATACTTAAGCAAATATTCCTGTTTTGTCTAAAGATTGGTATAGAAAACACATAACAGTAAAAATATTTGACCAAATGGCTATGATTTACTTTTATTTAGTAAGCGTATGTAGAATCACAAATACATCAGTTACTTTTGTTGCAATCCATATGTATCTATAACTTGCATTACTGTTATGATGTTAGACATGACTTAACTGAGACGAATCGATAATAACGGAACGAACAAAGCGAAGGCGGGTTCCACTAAGACATTGGTCATGTCATGTTTGGGTTCGAAATCGAAATATAATAATGCGTCCGATAGAAAACCAGCGATCGATACATGAGGCTAGCAAGCGGTGCGCACGCGCATCAATAAATAGCCCGATCCCGTGCGCGCCCATCGATACACGTCACCAACATTTTATTAATATAACGCTGAACAACGCGCGGTCGCACCGAACGTTCAACAACCCCGCGCTGAGCTTCTTACGCGCGCACTCTTTACATAGTTACATCATATACAATCATCTGACCTGATCCACATTCACAATTGTTCACTGCGCACTCAACTCGAATCAGTTTCCTACACCTACGACGTTATTTAAAAACTAAAGTTTACTTATGTGTTCATAGCAAGCACCTGCAAAAATGAAGAGCACTACGTCTGCTGGTGATAGTAGTACCGTTATAAATGATGGCGGTGTTGCGTCTCCTGCGTTGCGTTTGCGTTTCCCACGGCCTCGGTGCCAACCCACGTAAAGTTGCAAAACTTATGTACATCGGAAATATGGTTATGAGTTGGCAACACTT